AAAATTTTATTGCATCGGGGAGTAAACTAAATTTGGAAATATATGAACCTAAATAAAAAATTCTCTCGGGATAGTAAAACGTATAAAATGCGAAAATCCTTCAAGTTCCGACTATTGGTGCACTTACCCTATACCGATTTTTATATTTTCTCGAGAATGGGGCTTTTATGGATTGTAATTAAAAAAATAGTAATACATATGTAGAACTTAAATTTTAATCCTTATTTATTTTATTTTTGTAATTAATATATCATTTTTCTATTCCTTTCCCTTTTAATTTTTCTTCCCCTCAAAACGTTATTGGACAATTCTTCCCAATTACATACATCGATTTGTGAATTAAACACACCAACAACAACAAAACGAAATTCGAGTTCGATTGGTGTTATGTGGTTCTCACGCAAAAAGGTTTAGCAGTAAAACTACTGTAGGTAATCGCAGCAAATAACACCAACATTTGTATTAGTCATCATCATCATCGTCATACACACAAAATACTCTTGGATCATTCATTTATAACAGGCCACATTCATGCTGCCGCCTAGCTTGGCCTCTGCATTAATAGCGCGGCATATTGCTATATGGTGCTTGTGTGCTAAGGTATTGTGTGTTAAGTTGGAAGAAATATTTTGCAAGGTGATTTTTTGGGAAAATATTCGTTGCAGACACATTTTTGCCGCCATGGTTGGTGTGTGGTGGTGTGGTAGTGGTGCTAGTGTTGTTCTTTTACTCAACCAAAATCGTTGGCCTTTGGAACAACAACATTCCTTTCTTGTTGTTGTTATACCTTCTTTTTTTGGTTTTTGTTGAAATCTCAGCCTCAGACGCTGCAGTTTTTTTTTCTTCCTTGCTTCACTTGTTTATTTCGTTACTGCTGCTGTTGTTGTTTTGTTTATCGTATATATTTATTTGTGTGCTGTGCCATTTCGTTTTTGCACTTAAGAGATTTCTATTCTTTGTGTGTGTGTGTATGTATGTGTGTTGAGCTGACTGCAGCAGGCAAGAAGTTTACAACAATACTCAATGTGTATTCTTTACTGTTGATATTATATGCTCCGTGGGAAGTCACTTGGCACATATGGCCTCTACCAAGGGCCTTTTTATAACCTCCAGCATAAGGTGAAGTCATTCCATTTGTACAACTTCATAAAGCATATGCGGTAGATTCTGGATATAACGATTTATATGTGTGTGAATTGTCAGACCTAATCGATAAATGACCTTTTATGCTTAGTATATTCTTTATGATTGATTACAATTAAATACAATTTTGTACTCTTGTGTGGTACTTATTTCCAAAACTAATTCCAAATTCCAGGATTCGAGCCCTATAGGCTCCACCAATTTTACCAAATTGAATACCATTTAGAACACATTAATATAAATTCAATAGAAACCTTATTTCCCAATTTCTAAATTCTAGCCCAAATTTAGTACCATTTAGAACACATTAGTATGAATTTCCAACATTTCTTATATAGTCCAATCCTACACTCCTACAGTGATCCTAACTTCAAATGTCAAGATTCCAAATCCATATTTGGTACCATTCAGTAGAAATTTCTAAAAACTTCCTACAGACCCAAGTTCCCCCAGCTCTATCAGTTCACTAAAAATTCAAATTTAGTACAATATAGTATGAATTTCCAAAACAATATCCATACCCCAATCCTACACTCCAACAGTAACCTTATTTCCAAATTTCAGTTTTCCAGCAGTATGGGTTCACAAATCCATACACATTAGTACGATTTTCCAAAACTTCCGACATATCCCCACCCTACACCCCAACAATGATCCCAAAATTTCAAGATGCCAGCTCTATTCGTTCACCCAAAATTTAAATTGTACAAATTTAGTACACATTAGTACAAATTTCCTACAAGATTCCAGCCCTATCGGTTCACCCAAATCCACATTTGGTACCATTTAGTATACATTGGTATAAATTTCCAAAACTTCCTACATATCCCCATCCTACTTTTCAACATTGATCCTAACTCCAAATTTCAGAATCTCAACTCTATCGATTCAACAAAAATCCAAATTGTACCAAATAATGCACAATTTAGTACTTTTCGTAAACATAAGTACACATTTTTAAAATTACCTACATTTCGCTACACTCCGACGACATTGTTAATTTCAAATTTCAGGATTCCGGCTACATCCATTTCTCTAAATTCAAATTGTGCCAAATTTAGTACAGTTTAATAATTGCGTATACATGAGTACACCTGTAGTTCGAATGTGCAAAAACCCGTTGGTTACATCTATCCTACACTCCATGAATAACCCTCAATCCAAATTTCAGAGTTCAAGCTCCACCGGTTCGCCAATTAAAAATGGTACCGTATTTAGTACTTTTCGTGCCGTTCTAGTACCAATTTGCAAAAACCCAGACATACAAACGATTTAAACTGTCTATAAAGACACCCTCAAGTTCCTCTATAAAGATTCCCTTCAACTCCTCTACAAACCCGTCTACAAAGATTTTTTCCAAGACTTCCAGCCCGTCTGCAGATAAGTCTCTAAAAATTCTCCGTATCTAAAGACATTATCCTACCCCTCTACGTAAACTATCTTCAGCTCGAGAGATTCACTTGAACTTAACTATATATATATATATATGTCCACTGTGACCCTACTCCCTTTTTTGTCTTTACCAAGATGTTAAAACAAATCACCTCCTAGTCCTTCCCCGTATTATTGCTTGCTACTGGTATTGATGCCTTGATCATGGATGGGCCTCGCCGCATAAGATAGTGAGCGGGTTTTTTGAATAACTTTGCTGCAGCAGCAGCATGTAAAAGGACCAAACAAATGTTTGTCATTTTACATGCATTCTGTTGTATTATTTTCCTTCACGATTAGTAGTTTGTGTGACTACGATGATGTGTGTATGTGTGTGTCGATTTATGTGAATGGGCTTTATGATAGTATTTGTATTTTCCCATCGCTTTGTTTTGCTGTTTTTCTTTTTGTTGTTGTTTTATCGTATCTTCTTATTTTACTACTACCACCACCATGCTTTACGTGAGAATAGTAACTGCCATTGTCGTTGTCGAAGACGTAGTCTTCTTTTGTTGTTGTTTCTTAGTCGACAGTTGTGATCTAAGCTGGGTACTATGTCCATTATTCGTTGTTGTTGTGTTCTTGCTCACATTGAGAAGAAACGAAGAAGAAAATATGGAGGCGAACATTATTGCTGTATTCTTCCTGCCTGTCATCTTTTGGTTGCTGCGCTCTCTCATACTGTTGAGACACATTGGATGGCATGGTAGACGGATGGTTGATATTCTGCAGTGAATGTTGCCCATGCTGTTGTTGTTGTTGCTGCTTTTATTTTGTTTTTGTAATAGCATCATAATTATTATCATCTTCCATTTATACGATTCATCGTTACTGGTATGCCTCTGTGCAGCATTGTCAGTCGGTTTGTCTGTCCGTCTCTCCGGCTTTCATTGTGGATATGTGTATGTTTGTATGTATGTTTATTGTCTTTTGTGTTGTGTAGTCTCCTCCACTATGGGAATTTTGCCATTTTTTTCATTTCATTGCGGAATGTTGGCAGTTTCTGTTGTGAATTTGTACTAATAGGCTGGCTGGTTTTATTTGATGAAGATCGTTTTGTCGGTTGTGTCGCCGCGTATTTTATAAAACTCTTTTTTATTATTATTGTTGTTGTTGTTATGTAGTTATTCTGTTTATGAAAACGCCGATGATATACTAAAAAAACTACTCTCCCTTAAATAGATATTGTAGTTATGAACGGTTTACTAAAGTGCATCAAAACATAAGTTGGATGATTCGTATGCGTGTGTGTTGGTGTATGTCGTCTTTAATTCAATTGAATGATGCTGTTTGATTAATTTGTGGTAATTATGAAACGTTTTTCGTTTGCACCCTCAGCCTAATGGATCAAATCATGCAGTAATGTAAAAGTGCATGGGAATATATTTCGAACTTTGTGTGTACAGGTGATGTAGTGATGAAAATATTATTTCTTTTCTAACATACCGGTGAAATTGCATCTTGAAAATGAATTCGAAAAAGAATACCAGTATACATAGTGAATATAGCTACAATCTAAAAATGACTATATAATCACTGAAATCAAAACTATTGGGCGGAAAATAGTTTTGGGAAAAAATGCCAGAATTCGAACAATAAAAATGAGACTGTAAATTTCGCTAAATTATTTTGAAATGTTTACCATAAGCAGCAGTTCCCGGGGTTCTAATTACAATGATATACTTTTTTGTGAAAATACATATTTATATTGAAGATATTGACCTCTAAAGTTCAGCTGGAGTCCTTTTAATTTCCCATGCCTTTTTAAAAAGCATATGTGTAGAAATTTAAAATCAATCAAGTATGATTCCAAAATTTTAATTATTTTATACAAGAATCCGTACTATTGTATTTAAAGGCTATTCTGCGACGTTACCAGTGTTGATATGTGTCCATAGGAGAAAGTATGTAATACCCGGCCGAAGATAGGGCAACCTTGACTTGTTCGGGCCTTAAATTTGACTTGTTCTCTCATTTTTTTAACAAAAGAGACTCGCCAAATAGTCTCTTCAAAATTCCCTGTTGGAAATGTCTATAGTAAATCACTACTGACTTTGGATATTGTCACCAAAGTTGGGCAGCCTTGCACACGTTCTCTTTACATATTTACGTTGATGCGTTAAAACAAAAATAAACATTAATAATATGTTTAAGCAACTCTGCTGCTGCTCTCTACGATTCTCTTTTGAATGTCTTCCCCCTTGCCACTTTTTATACTTGTCACTTCTAAGAACTCAGCAGAGTTCCTTACAAAAGTTGCATGTATAAACCCAGACAAAATTTTTTTTATTAAAATTGTTAAATTAAGTATTAAAAAAATTAAATTATTTTATTTTCTCTTTTTAGTGATTTTTTGGGCACAAACGCCAAGCTAACTTCAAACAAGAAACCAACATTTTGGAATCAACCTTTTTTTAAGGTATATTATGGAAGAAAAATGTACCGATACATTTGAAAGCGTTGCATTAAATTTAATAAAAACTTTAAGAGATTCTATACCACCAGAAGCAGCCCCTATAATTACTTCTACATCATCGACATCAGGATCATCAGTCAAGTCAGTAATAAGTACAACAAAAACAACACCATCAACAAGTATAATATACAGTCATACTGATATTTCCGAGCACAATTCAAACTACAACGACGACAAAGCTGTAGACTGCTATAAGCCAGCAAAAAGTCGTGGCTCCATGTCGCTACTACAGGAGGAGGATTTCGAAACTAATTCACAGCATGCCTTCGCCCAAGTTGTCCTTGATGATGAGACCACAACGTCAGGTGTATTGGAAGCTTATGAGATAATTTCTTCGAATTTGTTGCCACCATCTGCGACACATGGTGATGACGATGAGGTTACGTCGGATCATGTAGCCACCGTAAATGATGACAACAGTTCATCTACAGATGCCATACAAATTATAAAAGTTTCATCGGATTCATCAACTGGTTCATCAAGCAGTAATGCATTCTATAATTCATCAGAAGTTTATGTAATCAACGATGATGATGACGACGACGATGATGATGATGATATCGACGATGAAGATGAAGAAGTCAGAAGGAGTCGCATCATTGCAAATAATAATACAAATGGAGTTATTGCCGATGACGACAATGAAGAAGAAGGTGATGACAATGAAGATAATATGAATATTACAAATCAGTCTTCAAATACGTCTGCGGTACGCAGCTCCACAACTGCCAAAAATAATGGTGTTATTATGAGTACCAATGGCGCCATGATTTTCTTAGAAACACCTGTAGTGGAAGAACAACAAAATCATCATCCCATGCATCATCACCATCACCACGAAATGTCCGCCACAGCCAAAGGCGCCAATGAATTTGCAAATGACACTAACGTCATTCCAAAACGACTAAGTGATGAATTCTCCAAAGATGCGGGAGATATGGGCGAGGAAACACCGTCGTCATCATCAGCCACAAGTAACAAAAACCTGCAACATCACCAACCTAAAGAACTTATATTCGATGTAAGAGAATCTCGTGGATGTTCGGAAAATGAACGCATGTCATCACGATTGAAAAAAATTAACTTGAATCAGAATACCAATTGTACAAATTCTCAGGATCAACCCTCTAGTAGTTCAAAGTCATCTGCATCTAGAGGTGGCAGTGCTTCCACGAATGCTACATCGTCATCCACAGGTATGTCTTCGTTGTCCGATATAGAATCCATGGATTTAATAGAACGTCGAGACTTCGAGCATGAACAACGATTAACAGGAGGTATTATACTGAAAACAAGTTCATTCAGCAAAGATGATGTCCTGCATCTGGGTATGGTGAAATCAAGGTTTATGATGAAAGACAATTTATCGTCGCACAACTCAGCTGGCAGCGATGGGAATCCACATCCATCCACAAGCAGCAATTCCAGAGGATTTTCATCCGATAGCAAATGTACCTACAAAGATTTATCCGCCACACCTACAAGTAGTCGAAAATTAATAGTACGCCTAACCAAATCAACTGCCAAAATGAATTTGAGCAACACTCTAAGTCATCACACCGAACAACAGCACCAACAGACAGACCTAGTAAAGACATCACACAATGCCAGCATCAATAATGAACAAAAACAACACAAATCAATATCTCCCTCCTCAACGTCCTCCGCTATGCCATCATCCACCTCTGCAACAGCATCATCATCATCATCCGCATCTGCCAAGACGGCCACAATCACATCATCAGTGATAGTCGAGCCAGGCGCGTCAGCTATGGGTTCTTCAGAAATATATTCCAATTCAAATTCTAATGACAGTCTTATATCCAGACCTTCATCAACCAGTTCATCAGTGGTCAATAAACAATCACACCATTTACGTCAGGATAAATCTCACGATGAATTTTCCGGACCCTCAACATCCACGTCCGCAACAAAAGGCAATGTGTCCTCTGTTGTAGTTCGCGTCTTTGAAAACGGTTGTAGTCGTACCACCGCTATTCAACCTCTTGTAAATCATTCTAATCATAGCAGTAACTCATCCACAAACGATCAGCAGGACGATGATGTCCAGCCTTCTACATCGTCAGCAAGATGTCAGTACGCCCCGCCACCTAGAAGTCATAGACAGGTCAATGCCAGCGCTCAAACTAACGAAAGATATTTATCGCGAAACCGCAGTAACAGTGACGCCACCTCATCCGTAGTGGCGAATGATATATGCCTGGGAGCAGCGGCCGTAGGAAGCAACAACGCTGGCCCTAGTTCCAGTCGCAACAATGGCAGCCGTCGCGCAGAAATTTCACAGAATATTATGAACGGTTTGCGTATGCTCAACGATAACCATAATGTGGAAAGCAACTTCTCATTCAATCATCAGAACTCAGCTTGGAACGATTGTGAGGATAATAATTCCGATGTCGAAGAAATTTGCACATGCCATCAAAGCTCCCTGGATGATGGCAGCAGCCATGGCGGAAGTATGAGCGACTTGAATGACGGAGTCGACGAATTTGACGCATCACAAGTTTACGGCAGCAATGCCAAGGATGGTGGGGGTGATCTGTCATACAATATTCTGCAAAATCTATCCATATCTGAGGATGGGGCGGCTGCATCGCCTGAGTGTCTGGTCAACCGTAAGCGCAAATACCATGACAGCCGTCTCATGGATCATGATTACAATTCAACAACGATATCGGGCAGTGGTGGTAGCGGTAATATTGGTTCCGTATTGGAAAGTAATAGTCGAAAACGAATTGCATATGATTTTGCATCAACGCCTAGATCCTCACAGTCGAATAATAATGCCACAAGCACTAAAGTTCTTGCATCGACCCCATCTTCAGCTTTAGTTCACACTTCAGTCAATGGGTCTCCCATGGGAAGACGCACGCCCCGCTCATTGATACCAACACGAGACAACCCGCCACCGGAATTGCAGCAATGGCTTCAACAATTTCAACGATGGTCTCATGCGGAACGTCTTTTGGCTGTTGACTGCCTAATAGAACATTGTGAGCCCACTCAAGTTCGCCATATGATGAAGGTTATCGAACCACAGTTTCAGCGAGACTTCATTTCACTGCTACCTCGAGAATTAGCTCTACAAGTCCTATCATATTTGGATCCGCAAGACCTGCTGAGGGCTGCCCAAACATGCCGCAGCTGGCGATTCTTATGTGACGACAATTTACTGTGGAAGGAAAAATGTCGCCAAAGTCAAATTCTAACCGAACCTCGCACTGATCGGCCTAAACGTGGTCGAGCTGGAAATATGCCACCAATAGCGTCTCCATGGAAGGCTGCCTACATGCGTCAACACATAATAGAAATGAATTGGCGTTCCAGACCCATTAGACAGCCCAAAGTGCTAAAGGGTCACGACGAACATGTCATAACATGCCTACAGTTTTCTGGAAATCGTATTGTGTCGGGATCAGATGACAATACACTAAAAGTGTGGTCAGCTGTTACTGGCAGGGTAAGTAGAGGGCAAAGAGTTACAAAATGGACATTTTTGATTGAATGAATTGCTTTCTTTTTTAGTGTTTGCGTACTTTAGTAGGACATACTGGAGGCGTGTGGTCATCACAAATGTCAGGCAATATTATTATCTCAGGTAGTACAGATCGCACACTTAGGGTGTGGGACATGGAAACGGGTCATTGTGTGCACACGTTATTGGGCCATACATCGACAGTACGCTGTATGCACTTGCATGGCAACAAGTGAGTCCCCATATTATTGTCGATATTTATTTAGATTCGATTTTTAAATCTATGATATTGTTACTACAGAGTTGTTAGCGGTTCTCGAGATGCAACTCTACGTGTTTGGGACATTGAACAGGGATCTTGTTTGCGAGTATTAGTCGGTCATCTGGCAGCCGTTCGTTGTGTGCAATACGATGGAAAATTAATTGTTTCGGGTGCCTATGATTATATGGTTAAAATTTGGCATCCAGAAAGATCAGAATGTCTACATACACTGCAGGGTCACACAAATCGTGTGTATTCATTACAGGTGAGTAGTGCTTTGCATTGAGTAGGGAGAAATATTTATTGACTTTTGTTTACATCAAACAGTTTGATGGTGTTCATGTGGTGAGTGGTTCGTTGGATACGTCAATACGTGTGTGGGATGTTGAAACGGGCAATTGTAAACACACTCTGATGGGCCATCAAAGTTTAACCTCGGGCATGGAGTTACGAGAAAATATTTTAGTTTCCGGCAATGCTGATTCAACAGTTAAAGTTTGGGATATTACCACCGGCCAATGTCTACAAACATTATCGGGTAAGTGTTTAATAAAAAAAAACTGTTTATTTATCCTTACAAGAAATATTTTAATTAATTTCGATTGAAAAATGGTCCATGATTGTAAAATCTATTGACATTTACAATGATATTCATTGTGAAAGATATATTAAAAAATGTGCAGGAGTGTCTACAAATGTATCATCCTAATTTTCCTCCCGCTTATTGTACAGAAAAATATTGTCCAGTGGATGTTGTTGTTACAGCAGCTTATACTGCTGTTTATTATGTCTTTACTCTGGTTCTGCTTCTAACTCCTTGTGTCCAAAGTGAAGATGGGGTTAGATGATGAGTGGGGTTAGATGACCGTACCATCGATTCGTGTCCAATATGAATTGAGGCGGATACAGATCTCAGTTGTGCCAAGACAACTCTGGTATGTTGTTGTAGCAGCCGTATTGCTTTTAGATAATGGGCAGAGGTGACTTCTGCTGCCATCGTAGGTGGGTGTTCTCCGAGGGCTGCATGCACTATGTATTCTTGAATAGCTTCCTCAACTGCATCAGTGTGAATACAATTCAATGCTGCTTGAAAGTTGGTTGATCTGTAGGCTCCCTTTTGTAACTCTGGACTCTCTACAGATCATCAAGACTTGCAGCTATGCATGTAGGTGTACTCACCACCATAAGGTGATGGTTGGGATGGCTACACATCCAAGCTGATATTGCCTCGACTACATCTTGTGTTGACGTTCAAGAAGGGTCACACGGAGACATCCTGTTGCGACACTCTGCCATTTACCGTATCTTATTTGTTGTTTCATATTTCTCGTCAGGAAAAATACAGATATATCCACGAGATATCCACGTGTGTGTGGTATCACAGTGTCGGTCAGGCTGTCTATACCGCATTGGCTTACTGGCTACTTTATGAATATTCCATGTTTTTTATTTAAATTAAGAATCTATTTAGCCGTTTAATATTTTTTAAATTATTTTCATTATAATTACTTATGTTTTGAAATTACTATTATCCAGGTCCAAATAAACATCAATCAGCTGTAACATGTTTGCAATTTAATTCCCGTTTTGTGGTTACCAGTTCAGATGATGGCACCGTTAAACTGTGGGATGTAAAGACTGGAGAATTTATACGCAACCTTGTGTCCCTGGATTCTGGCGGTTCGGGAGGCGTTGTGTGGCGTATAAGGTAAATATTTCAGTACTACTTTGATGCATGTTTCCAATTGTAATATCTTTCATAACACATATTGTTGTTTGTTTCACATTATTTTATTTTTAGAGCGAATGACACGAAACTGATATGTGCTGTTGGTTCACGCAATGGAACGGAAGAGACTAAGTTAATGGTTCTTGACTTTGATGTGGAAGGAGCGTGTGTCAAATGCTCATAGGATATAAAATCAATGCAAATAGTAAACTTTATCACCATAATCATCATCATCACGCACATGCCGTACTAAATGATTGTGGTGAAGGGGATATTAAACAGCGATTTAATCTACAAATAATATTAAAGAAAAGACGCCAATTTTGTTTTATGCCTACAGCAGCAATACTGTAACAAAAACAAACTTTTTTTAAAAGTGTAATGTAAAAAATAATTATCTACAAAAATCTAAACAAAAGCTTTATAAGCTTCAAAATATCTCTAATCGACAACAACACTAAAAAGGCAGCCATTTGCAACAACAAATAATTGAGAGCAGCAGAAATGTGAATAATAAACATGCCATGTGTTTATTTGTAATTTGCAATATATATAGAAATGTGTGTTTGTGGCAGATAGATCGATCTTCTTTTAGAATGTATAAAAACTTGAGTGTAGAACTATTGAATTGAATTTTTGTTATATACTTTGTTGCCTTTCTTAGTTGAATTTGAACAAAAGATTTTTTATTTGTCTTGTATTGCTTTTGTTTTCTTACCGAAGAAGAAGAACCCACTTGAAAATAATATGTTTTTGCTTACAACAGAACTGATATTTTTATAATTTTTTGTTAGAAAAAAAAAACTACAATATGTTTAAGCATTAACAGCGATCGTGTAGCTTTATGTTTATTAATTAATAATATTAAATCTTAATGAAATAATTAAAAAAGAGGAATAGCGGAAAAAATATTTCTCATTTATGACATTTATTTTTATTTCCTTTTTCTGTGTCTCTGTTACGTTTATAATTGGAATATTTTTCGTTTCTTTAATGAAATGAATTAAATGATTTTTTTTGCATATTTTCCCTTGTGTTTTCTAATTTTATAATCTATATAAAATCGATTAAGCTTCCAAATGTCCAAAACAAAACATGTTAACCTATAGAAGAATTTGTTTTTGTTATTTTCAAATAATTTTTGTTTGAATTCGTTGTCGACGTCGTCATCGTTCATATTAGTTTAAATTAACAGAATAATAGTACTATTTACTATAAGTATCATACTTTTTTCTATTAATTTTCCCAGGTATCTTTAAAATTCTACTCAAAACTCTCAGCTAATCAATAACACAGTTTTCAAATGTAATTGCTTGAAAATGATAACAAAATTAAATTAATTTCTTGTTTTGAGAAGTTTTTTTATTTCATTAGAAATCAAGTTTCATTTGAAAATTGTATAGACTTGCTCGAAAAGGCGTCCAATGTGTTTACAACAAACAAATAAAAACATAAATAAAGCCCAAATTATTGCCTGTAACATAAAAAATAACAATATAGTATATTGTACACACATAACAACAAATATATACATATAAACAGAGAATTAATTAGTAGTATAAGTATAATAATTAAATTTCATTTCAATGAAAATGCAACTTCTACAAATGAGCAAACACACACATACATATTCATATATATACAACTCTATAAGGATATGTGTAAGTGATGTTATGCAAACAAAACCATTTAAAGGAAATAGCTTTCAGTTAATTCATAAATTCATACAAAACAAGAGAACATAATCAATAAAGCTTATCGCAATAAAACAAACAGAAAAAAATACACACGTATAAACGTACAAACCTAAATATCTCCGATAACCAACCACTTTTCCCTTTGAATTTTTTGTTTCCATGCGATTAAAGAAAAATTGCTTTATCATCATATAAAGGCTTATATAAGTCTTTTATTCTCTTGTTATTAATTTTCTCTGCAAATAAAATATCAAAAAAATTAATAAATTTAGTTCACTACACATTTGAAACAGAAAAAATTACCCATTTGATTTGAATAAATATATAAGTTAAAAAAATGATATATAAATACATACTACAAATATTTTAATTATAGACTGATTTATTAGTAACTAATCTATATATTTTAATAATACATTGCATAATATTAATACAAAATAAAGCCTACATTAAAATACAAATACACATATATCTCTATTACTTTAAAAAAACATTTTCAACTTGTGTTTTCTTTTCGTTGGCTTAATAGTGCAAACAAGGACTCTTGGAAACCGCCTACGCAACTAGACTCAAAATACCAATGGAACTTATTATTTTATATTTAAAGGTCTTACCTCTTATTATGGTATGTATTCCGAAGATCCCTGCTGCACTTTCAAACTGAAGTGTCTGCATTTTTAATATGATATTGCAATTGAAGCTAAATTACAGTTCATTGGCAGTACAACCTTTCTTCCTTAAAAAAACACTAGGAATTGTTTGGCACACATACGTTAAGGTTGGTACTGACGTCTCAAACTTTATTAAATCGCAAAGCCCCATATTTTAACAACAAATATAAAAACACAAAATTTATTTCTGGGTTATACCTTTACCAATTCTCTTTTTTTTGGCTTTATTTTATTATTCAAAAAAAAAACGTTAATTCCAAATACTAAAAATATTTGCAAAATATATGTATATAGTCAATACTTCAATGCTACTCGGCTAATTGTTGATAAAAAATAAATTCAAGTAGAACATATATTTGTTTAATTCATATACATAAGTACGAAATTGTTATTGGGGCAATACTGCTTGATGGGAGGGAAAAGTAGTTCAATAAAATAAATCGTTAACAAACTCAATACGATAATAGTATTAAATAAAAGAGATGTATAGTTTATTATGATGAAGAGTAGTCCAATTCAAAACTGTAAATTCTTGTGAATTAATTGAGAAGGATTTATGTAATTGTCTATTGTACACGGTAGTGTGATGTCCTTTGTTGTTTTTGTCATTCCTTCAATATTTATACCTTGGTACGTTTAACTGTGTGTCCTTCAATGCCCACATTACATCTTGACGCAATTTCGTTGGCCGAATTTAAACTTGTCACAGCTGAAAGGGCGGAAACTGTTGTGCCAATATTACTGAGAATTCCACCATTATCAGCACTTATAGGCCTCTTACGATTTGGTGATGGTACTGGTGATTTTTGTTTTAAGCACTCCACATCGTCGAATATAACTTGGGCACCACCGCCACATGTGGGTACTATATTACCCTTGAAGAGTTTCGTCTCAACATCGCCATCGGTGTCAGCCTCTTGCGATACCAGCATATACTTATTGGCATTGTGTCCTGTCAAATCCTTCATATCCGTGAGTTTCGTAATTGATTTGCGATTCTTAAGATAAGGTTGTAGGACAGTACCTAATGGGACTGGATTTTGAGCACGATGTTCGATCCATTTTTCTCCAGCTGAACGTGAACGACGATGGCGTCTGTTGGCAGCAGCCATGCCCTATAAAACAAACATATTTTTTTAAAAAGTTTCAATTTAAATTGACTTTCGGTGATAAATTAAGAGTTCTATAAAAATTCTGTTATCTATACTCACTCTGGGCACTCTTGCAGCACCATATACATCCGTCCTTGGTGTTGCTGTAGCTGTTCCCGTTCTTATAGAACTTGTCACAACATGATGTTGCGGCGCTTGTTGCTGAGAATCTTTGTCCTCGGTAAGATTATCTATGCTTCTTGAACGCGGCAACTTGGCCATGGCCAAATCATCTGAAGTTATAATATTCGATAAAAGTTTTAATTTCTCATCTTTAACACGTATTTTATTTTGCAATTTAGCATGTTTGAGTTCATGCAATTGATCACGTTTATTGACTTCAACTGCCAGTTTGGAATCGAATTTCTTCTTTTGGTGCTCTTTTTCTTGTTCTTTCTTATTGAGAAGATTCTGTTGCTCTCGTAATTTCCGTGTAAGATCATCGATTTGCCTTTCGCGATTACCCAATTTATTATTGAGCACATCGATGGAACTTTCATGGACCCGAATTCTATTTTCCAATGCTAAGCTGCGATCACGTTCCTGTTTATAAACGGCCTTTAATGATGCCAATTCGGTTCGAAGTGATAGATTTTCCTTTTCTCTTTGCATTAAAAGTGAACGGAAATTATCCACTATTGAGTAAAATAAAAAATGATCATAATATGTATACGGATTAGATTATTAAACTATTTACTTACATCTCGTGTCTAAATCTTCGCATAGCAATTTTCGTTTCTCAATTCTTTGCACTAAATATTGCATTAGCATTTCAACGGTATCTTCAGCTTCTGGACTATCCAAATTATACTCTGGGAAATTAGGACCTAGAGTATAAACAAGGCCCACATCAACATCCAGTTTCTGAGCATCAGTATAACCCATGTCGTTCAAATTATTGACAGCAATTTTAAATAGTTTGTTGGCTTTGCGACGACCAGGAGTCAAACCTAAATCAGCTTTCATAGGTGTTGCTCTGGCTATTTGAACTTCTTGTGTCATTTCGGCGAACTTTATAACTTGCTGGAAATAAAGAATTAAATATGTTTTCAATATTATTTTATCATACACTACATGAAAGTGTTCTTGTGTTTTTATTTATAAAAACATAAACAGGCACATACCGTATTTTCTTCAAAATCTTCCGCCCGCGGGTTAACACAAACAATCATCGACACCTGTCCTTCACCATCAAAGTAATTCTTGAATAGATGTGTAATTTTCGCATCACGGTATGGAACTTTTTTTGATGGTACATTATTACCAGATGATAATTGATTTTCGCGTAAATACTCCAAACAGGTACGAAGTGTCATTAGTGAATTATTAATATTACCCGCTTCCCTTAAACGCATACCAGTATTTTTTGTACGCGACGAACGTTCACTACCCGCCAAATCGACAAGGGACAATTGACTGACGGTAATTGTTCTCTTGTCCTGAACAATATTTTCACCCTGGCAATCGGTGGGAGCTTGAACAAGGCGTATATTGAACACCGAATGACTGCGACTAGATTCTGCATTAAGCACAGTGTGACCCATACGTTTACGCTTCTGACCAATCTGAAAGTATTCAATGGCCTCTTCGACAGATTTGATTTCGACTTCAGTTACACCATGAACATACATGTTGTGATTGGCATCTTCGCGAATAATTTTGCTTTGCAAAGATCTGAAAAAATTGCAAACAAATTTTGTTTTTTTTTAATTACACAAATAAATCTGTCACTTATTAGACTACTTACTTCTGAATGCCACCATCTTCCAATAAATCATATACACTATTGTTGTATACTTCAATGTATGTTATGAAAACTGCATACATATTATCCTCATCGATACCTTGCAAAGGCGGCATTTCACATGACGCTTGTGAGGCCAGTTCGGGATCGGAATCCTTGCGTTTAAGAGGGCCCCGGCCACCGGCGAAACGCTGATTCATTTCCTGTTGCCGTTCGAGTAGAGCATCTGCTTCGGACAATATTTCAAATCCATTCAAGCGATCCGGTTTGAAAACATATTTCTTTGTTTGAAAATCAGATATTGTGCGAAACAGAACATCCAAACAGCGCGGCATTATACCACGATGTCGCACATCACCAGTCATTGTGAATGTTTTCCCACTGCCAGTTACACCGTAAGTGAACAATAAACTGTTACGACCTCGTATCAAGTTCTCAACCAAAGGTTGTGCCACTTTGGTGAACACTTCCTGTTGTGTGGCTTTCGCTTCGAACACATGCTTGAAAGTGCACTGCGTTTCCTTGAGTACACAATGTTTGTTGCCCAATGCCTGTTCCGGTGGTGTCAAAACGATTGTTGTGGAATTCTTTACCGTAATACACGAAAGATCTCCTTCTGATGGCAATGGACGTACTCGGCAAAACACACTAACTGGATCCTTGGGTCGTGGTGGTATATTTTCACTTCCATTCGATTCAGTCGAGGTCTGGGTACGTACTCTCAGTTCTCTTTGCTGATGAGGAGTCCTCACTGCACGCATAGGTGTCCTTGCACTATAGAAAATGGAAAAATACATACGTTAATTCATATAGTGTGACATATAAAATATTGGAAACTTACGACGACTTCATCGTGGATGTGTTTTGGCAGCTAATAACCTTTTATCAAATATATATTTTTCCGAATTACCAAATATTTTTTCCATACATCAGTTCAGTTATTTCAAACAAGCGGGATGACGCGTTTTCAATGAAACTCAAAGTTTGGAGTCGATTGGAAAATAATGACGGCGTTCAATTCGGATATAAGAGCGACAAAGGCAAATTTAATAAAGTAGCCAAGTAGCCGCATCAGCGCAGCTGTTGGTACAATTCATGGCACAATGAAAAGGTAGTCCATTTAGCGCAGCTGATGTCTTGATTAACTGTCAAAGTGGGTAATTTCTACTTGAATTCGATGTGCAGTGTTGCCAACCATTTGAAATATTATATGGAAAAATTTGACAGATAATCGAGACAAAAGCAAAGGTTTTTTTTTTTTGATACATCACATTATTATTACATCATGGTACAATTATATGTAAAAAATGTTAAATAACATTTAAATTGGAACACTTTACCGGGTTAATTCACATTTACATATAATAGAAATATTTATATCTTAAGACCATTAAACTCCTTGTACACTAGAACTTTTTACCATGTTAACCTACTTTATAAGGATTTATTTGACATATATGCAAAGGAATTGACAATTGAAACCCACTGGGTCAACGAAATCCTGTTAAACGTAAACGTACTATTATACTGAATTGCGTTAACATAGTGGGTTTAAATTGTCATCTCCACTGCATATATGTCAAATAAATTATTATGAAGTAGGTTAACCCAGTAAAAACGTATATCTCAATTTTCGAAAAATGTTAAAATTAAGTATCAAAGTTTTTGGTATATTCACAACTTATTATACTTATAACAACTTTTCTGACTAATATAAATTATTACCATTACAAATTATACATTATATAGTTGAATTCATATTATTAGAGGCATTTTTCTTAAAAAAAAAACAAAAATATCAAATTCCAATAAAAAAATTGGGATAAAATCGAATTTTTTATTATAAAATTCGTGGTAACAATTTTTTTCTTTTTGTAAACATGTATGAGAGTATATGTGTATATATGTAAACAAATACCAGCTGACAGTCATTTAAAATGATCTCAAACCTCGTGTAAACAACGTAATTTATTTTTTTTTTATTTTTATTTATTCAATTCATTCCATAATACTAAAGCCTTCAAGGCCAATAAATAGTATTAACAATCATAACATTCCAAGTAGAACTTATAAATAAACAACTATATAAATATAAACTAATTACATATAATATGTTATAATATAATTGGCTCCCCAGCCATAACAAAAAAAAAAAAAAAATACTCAGCTAAATAGATGCAAGTACTGACCACGATAGCAACAAATATAAACAAGATTTTATTAAAGAAGCAAGACAGACTTAGAATATATATTGAATATTATCTGATTCAAAAGAAGAAAAAATTATGAATGATGAAAATATTCATCATTGAATAATCACCGCTGAAGTTTAAAGTGGTTCATTAGTTTCACTCTGAAAGAATTATTGGAGTGTGAAAAGAGTCTCAGATCCACAGGTAAATAATTCCATATCCTTGCAACACGTATTAAAAATGATTTCTCAAAAGAAGAGTAAAATATCCTAGGTATATAAATTTGTGTACTTCGCGACGAAGATATAAAGCCAAACATATTTGCTAAGGATAGAGGTACACCATGCTTGATTATCTTATAGAAAGTGAATAGCAACTTACTAGAAAGAAAATGCTCAAAATCAACTCCCAATAATGTTTCAACATAACCAGATATATGTTCACGTCGTTTTAATCCGTACACAAAACGAGCAATACAGTTTACTATACGTCTTAACTTCACAAAAATTCGATCAATAGTGCCAGAAACCACTTCTAAACCATAACTAACATGGGGCATCAGCAACGCAAATGCTAACCTTTTTTTCACCCATGCCGGAAGAAACAAGTTAGAAGAGTAAAGTCTTCGAATAGTACAGCAAACTTTGCGTTTAATCCAGTCAACATGTGACTCAAATGAAAGTTTATCATCCAAAAATATACCCAGAATTTTATGACAGCTTACGAAACTGATTCGATTCTGGGCTAAAAAAATATTAATATCATCTGCTTGACTACCGAACATAATGGCCTTGGTCTTAGAAGGGTTAATTAAGAGACAATTATCGATACACCATTGCCTAAAACGTATAAGACAAATATTTATTTCCTCTTCAAAATCTGTAGCATATTCACTCTCATCACAAAAGACTAAAAACACATCATCTGCATATATTAGGGGTGTACAGTTAACGTCAGAAAAACACTCAGCAATACTGTTAACATAAAGTACAAACAATAACGGACCCAAAACAGATCCCTGCGGAACACCACACTGAAGCGGGAGTAACATTGAAGATTCTCCATTATAAAAAACAAATTGCGATCTACCACATAAGTAAGATCTAACAAGTTTGCAAGCAGTACCAGAAAAATTGAATTCATTCTTAAGTTTATTCATCAACATTTGGTGAGAAATTGAATTAAATGCTTTAGTGAGATCTAAAGAAACAACTACCGTATTCTTATTAAGATTTGCGTTATGTCTAATCATATCCGTCATATAGAGCAACAACCCTGTAGTACTGTGATTCCTACGGAATGCAAACTGACCATTATATAAATATCTGTTAACATGTGTCAGTATTTGATTTTTCATAATGTACTCACACACTTTGGACAACACAGGGAGAATTGATATCGGTCTAAGATCATCATAGCTATGTACAACATTGCCTTTTGGTATAGGGACAACACGAGCTTTCTTCCACAACACAGGAAACATAGAAGATGTTAGAATGCAGTTAATTAAGTCCAACAAATAACTAGAAATGTAAGGAAAAACAAGTTTTAAGAATTCCAATGGTATTCCGTCTACACCAACTGCTTTAGATTTAATTTTACCCAGAGCCATAATAATATCATCAACATCTACACAACTAAAAGAAAAACCAGAGTCAATGTCATCAAATTCAGGAAAATCAGAATTATCAACTTCAGATTCATTTGTAACAAAAGACGAATTAACTGCATTAACATCAATATGCAAGGTATGATCATCTCTACCTAAACATCCTGATACTCTAAGAAATCGCCAAAGAGCTGTTGATCCCATAGCATTGAATTTTTTGGAGTAAAACCTCCTACGTTCACGTCGTATAACAGACTTCGCTTTATTACGGTACTTACAAAAGACATTCCACTTTTCATAGCACTTATCGGACTGATATGAACAAAAAGCAATATCACGTAGGGAACAAGCAAGTTTAATGGAATTGGATTTAATCCAATTATCACCATAATGAATCCTTTTTCGAACTAAAGGAACAAATCCGAATAACTCTACAACAAGGGATGTTAACACAGAACACTTGACATCAATGTCGACAATATTGCGAAAATCAAGATCAAAGGTAGACAAATACGAACATAACCCATTCCAATCAATATTCAAGTAGTCCCGATATTCAATAAATTCAAACACGTTTTCAACAGCAAATGTAAGCGATGCAAATATGAGAGAATGATCAGAAACTGAGGGACATATAGCTTGATCAGATAGAAAAACCATAGAGCTATCACTAACTAAGACAAAATCTATCAAAGATGTTGAACCATGAGACACATCAAAGTGAGTAGGCCTAGAATTGTGTATGATAGACAGATTTAAACGAAAACAAGCACTACGAACACATGCAGCTCTGTGTGGATCAAACAAATTACAATTAAAATCACCAACTACCACTATGTTGGAATATCTTTCAAAAAGATCAGCATGATGATCCTCGAAAAAAGTGAAATCACCAGGTGGGGGCAGATATACAACACCAAACAAAACCTTAGAATCACCAGCTAAGAGCTCAACAAAAAGGGACTCACATTTGCCTAAGACAGATGATTTGAATACAATTTTAAACCTCACACCACTCAAAATATATATAGCAACACCTCCACCTCGAGCATTAATGCGATCATTCCTTACTAGTCTATATCCAGGAATATCAACCATTCTATTAGAGATATCAGACTTAAACCACGTCTCAGAAAGTGCAAGAACATGTAAGGAAGAACCAAATAAAATCGATCTCAACTCACAAAATTTAATTGAGCTGTTGGATGGCCTTAAACTTCGGCAGTTTAAATGCGCAATGTTAAAATTATCATGACATGAGCCAAGTATCGAATTTATGTACACGTTGTTGCTAATCGCTGGTCCACAATTTGCACTAAGAGACATTAAACGAAAAATAATTGATATAGCGGGGAACCAAATATATATAAAATATTAAAAACCTTTTCATTATTATTTCAAAATTCATTACAAAATATCACATATTTAAGGCAGCTGATCGAATTTTCAAATGAGATCAGTAATTAAAAATTTCAGTTACAAAAAATAAAAAGCAATTATAATATTCATAAGAAATCACAAAAAAAAAAAATAAATAAAAATATCAAATATTTACGCCTTCAGCATCACACAGCAATTCATCACACTGACTTGAGTTATATGTGACTTCTCTGCCGTCATCAAACTTAAGCCATGCCTTCAATACATCGGAATTCAAAATTTTGAATCTGTTTATCACCTTCAAACGACGAAGTTTCTTGCATACGAAGTTCAGATGCGCTGCCGCAGGAGAGAAATGATCGTTCAGATAGACACGACTAGTTAAACCAATTCCTAAGTCACCCAGCAAATCAGAAACTTTAAGATTGCGAGTTTTGAAGTACTCTTTCATTAGTAGATCACGTTTTGACACCTTATTGAACTTCACCAAAATTTGCTTTTTGCGGTTAATATAACATACGTGGTTTATATCCATGCTGGTGAGTGGAACGTTGTAAACAGAGCCCAAAGCAATCACAGGAGCTTCCAGATCATTCAGTCCGTCTGGCAACCCTCCTATAAGAATGTCAGAACGATTCATCCTTTTGTGCATAACATTATCTTCTTTTTCGAGAGCCACAAATCGAGCAGAAGTAGTTGTTTCAATACGACGAACATTGTCACCACATTTCTTTATATCAGCCCTCATTTCAGCAACACATGAACTGACTTCCTTTTTTATGTCGTCGAGAACCATTGTAAGTCGATTCTGTTCAGTTTGATAGTTCGACATAAAATCATCCAATTTGGCTGTTAAGCTATTTATCTTTTCAACAACATCATCATTACAGGCTTTGTTGTTGAGATTGGGCTCACAAGCAGGACATATATAAGCAAATGCCTTCACAGTCCTCAAAACACATAAATTTTTCTCCTCTATATTCGCACAAGAGGCATGAATCCAGCTGTTGCAAGCTTTGCATAAGACACTAGCCTGTGTTTTGGTTACAGACTGGTTGCATATAGGAGGTGATGCAAATGTGGTATACCCATTTGTTTTCAGATTGCCAAATTTTTATTTTTTACCCGATTAAATTGAAATTTTGCACTTAACATGCTACATGTGTTGTCTTTCCATGTATCAATTTGAAAATAATATTATTCTAACAATTTAAGAGATATTAGAGAAAATATTTGAAATCCCATAAAAAGTGATTTTTAAAAAAGTGCAGGTAATGTGGTATACCACATGATGTTAATGTGGTATAGTATAATTTTCACTTCCAATTGATATCTTATATAATTTATTGTTTTTAATGAATGCGAATTAGCTCGAGATTTATGTCTGTTAAAATTTTTAACGGATACGTTGAGTGCAACTTTAATTTTTATTCTATAATAATTTCTATACATGGCAATATTTAATTTTTGTATGGAGAAGTTGTTAAAACTCATAGCCTTTGTTTTTCATCCTTGTGATTCATGGTAGACTCTCGTAAAGTACGAATGTTTCACATAGTAATGAGATTTTGTCTAGTGCTGGCCTTTTTTCATGCAGAATCAAGGTATACCACATTACCTACACTTGTGTTTACTGAAGAAATGTCTAGTTTTTTCCTAAATTGGTGATTATGTGGTGCAATCGCGCATATTATTTTATTTTTAGTTCATACTAATTATTTTAATGCTTTAGTAATAACGATTAAATTACATCCGTAAAACAAAATATTATTTTTAAACTTCAACCGAAAAAAAGTCAATTTCATGAAAAATTTTATTTTTGGTACTGATTCTCAACGTGATTTAAATAAATCAAACAGGTCATTGCTATTTAATTTTTTTGAGAACAGCAAACTATAGAACATGTTTCAGTTATTCTAAAATTTTCAGTTTACAAAAAAAGTGACTATACCACATTACCAACCTATACCACATTTGCATCACTTCCACTATTGTACACTTTATAACTTTAGAAACCGGCATATTTAAATCAGTAACGTAGCAAACAGCAACAAAATTATTAAAAGATGTCGGCAGGCAATAGAAAACAGCAACAACAGCAATCAGCAACTTATTCAACACAAGGCAATATCAACCAACGCAAAATTTAAAAAAAAAATCAGTAATGTCACCACTTTATTTAATAATTAACAGGCAAAAATCTTCGCAGAATTAAGTTTGTTTTATTTGTTTAGTTTGTAACGAACGTAAACAGCAAAATAAAGAAAGCGATCAGCTGCGATTAAAAAAACACGTCTACTCAGACATAGGGTTCTATAGTTTCAGGATTTCGTAAATCCAGATCATATAAAGTGCGTATGTAAATGTGCTATACGAGAAAATTAAATAAAACACAATAAAATAAAGCATCAAAAGGCTATAAATGTGAACCTAGTTATCAGTTCAAGGTGTCGCCATGTTGTTAGCATCCACATGCGAGTAGTAATCGAAGTAGTGTACCAAATACCAAATACTTGGTATTTTTTAATGCAACCCCTATTTGAACATAACTGTCTTATGTCATGTACAGACGAGCGTTGTTCGCTCTCTCATTCGTTGTTCGACCCTTAATTATGAAGTAATTACTTAGTTCTCCATACAAAATTGTCTGAGCGAACACCTACTTTTGTACGTTGTTCGATTCGAATCACTCTGAATCACCAAGAATTTTGTCCCATCTCTAACAATTGAGAGAATTTATCGAAAATAAATTAATTTTGACAGCATGAAAAAAATTGTAAAATTTTCAAACTTTTTCTGTAAAATCGAAAATGATGAATGAAAAGTAAACAAAATTCTAGTTTTTATATGTGCAGAAGGATGTAAATTTTGTTGTCTACATGATGCAATATGCATTTCTTTCCCCTTTGTTCTAATTAGCGTACAAAACGAGAGACAAAAGTGGGGAAACACAAACAAAAATTCTCCAATTTTTTAAATGTGACATTTGAGGTGAGAAAATATAAAAATGTACTGAAAACAACAATATTTTCAGGAAAAATGGAAAACATGAATTAAAAGTAAAGAGATATGGGTTGATATTATAGTCAGGAGAAAGAGAATTATTTTTTCTATTTAGATCCATATGTGGTTCACGCAAATATGTTACAATATGTTATGTTACAAAACAAAAAGTTTGAAATAAAAAATTCTGATGACATGAATTAGCAATAGTGTTGTATGAACGGGTTAATTCATGTACGTAATTATGAGAGCGAACTACGTTGTTCGAATGCCCGTCAGAACATGGCATTAGGGATATGTAGTTGAGCGTAAAAGTCGACTTTTAGACTTTTCGATTTTTGCCACTGACAAAAAGTCGAATTTTAGACTTTTCGACTTTTGCCTTTGACTAAAAAGTCGACTTTTCGATCATTTGATTTAGTCAAACCTTTTAACGAATAATGGCAAACTCACCGAAAAACAAAAAGTAGTATTTGACAGTATAGGGGATTTTACTCCAAAATTGTCGATAACGATTGCTTCTGACTCGACTTGTTTATTGGATCATGCAAGGTAGATATACAAGGTAGCCTATTCGGCGAATTTCAACAACAAACATCGGTTGTTGTATTTTGATATATCAAAAATATTTTACCAAAACAAACAGATTCGCAATTCGGAGATTTTCATTCATAATTTTGTTTTTTTAATTTTTTTGACATTTATTTGCACCAACAGTTGGCCCGATGTGGCTACCTTATTAAATATACCTTTTGATCAAGATCTATTAATAAGGTCACCACGATAGCAATCGAAATCGGAAAACAGCTGTTTTTTCTCAAGTCTAATGTCAAAAATTTCGACTTTGTTTACGTTTTCATAATGGAAGTCAATTCACAATAATGCATTTTGACAGCAAACTTGAGAGGTATCGATAATCAGCTGGTCTCCCTTGGTGACCTTATTTATAGGCCATGCTTGGGATCATGGACTTTTCCATACAGAAAATCGATTAATCGATTAGTCGATTTACTAATCCCTAAACTGGCTCATACCGAGTACTTGGTATTCGTAAACAGTCCAACTCCTTTTTAGTCTCCTCCATCCCACCTCATTCGTAACTTTCAGTCTTCTTTTTTGACTTCTTCTTCATTATCGGGCATTTTGTACCGCTTTATTCGCTTTATTATACATACATAAAAATTCATTATACATAAAAATTCTGGAAGAAGCAGTTCGCAAAAGCATCATATAGTTCGAAGCAAAAATAAATTATAAGAAAAAATTGTATATTTGAATATTAAAATCATTAAAATATCTAAAAATGACAGATATTAAGTCATTTTTCCACGAGTGGTGCACTAAAAACAAAGTTGATCCGCAATATAGCGTGAGAGCTACCGGTAAGTAATGAAAATTATAATACAATTTTGCACAAGACAATATAACAATATAAATTGGGTTCAATTTAGGTCCTAAGCACCGGCAACGTTTTCTATGTGAAGTTCGAATTAATGGTTTGCCCTATGTGGCTGTGGGCAATTCGACAAATAAAAAAGATGCCGAACGTAATGCTTCAAGAGATTTTGTAAATTTTCTTGTCCGTAGTGGCAAATTGAATCCAAGTGATGTACCAGCTGATGCCGGCGTTGCGGCTGCACCAGCTCCCGAAGTAATGTCAAATGCCGGGGGAAATAGTTTCGGAGGAGGAGGCGGTAATCAAAATCGCGTGTTTGATCAAAATTCTGGGCCACAAGAGTTGGGTCAGGCATATCGCCCTATTGATAATCGTCGTGATTACAATCCAATTGATCGGGCACAGGAACAACTGGACATGAAAGAGGCCGAATCGATTGATGTAAATGCAGCTATACATGGTAACTGGACCATCGAAAATGCCAAGGCGAAACTTCATCAATTCATGCAAATGAACAAAATAACTGCTGATTATAAGTACACACCAGTTGGTCCTGAACATGCAAGGTAAGTTTTGAAGTTATGAATATATATTGTTATAATTTGGAGTATATTTGTTTTAATTTTTTTTATGATCTTATATAAATAACTAATACGATATATTATAGTATTGCCATTATTAAGATATATCAACAACTATTTTTTCTGAATTCCGTATTCGATTTGGTTTATATTAGACATTTTCATTTAAGGAAATTTCCACTTTTGTATTGATGTTTTGGCAGCTGCCCTACTGTTTATACGTACACAAAAGTGATGATTTGTTATTGACAGTCGTTGAACAAGAGAGATTAGGGTTGTGTCGGGTCGTTGAAACGACTGCTGTGGAAACGACACTCACTTTGTAGATGTTTGTACTCAGTGCGGCCGTTGTGCCACTAAAGTGCCAATTTTGACACTTACTTCGGACTTACCACTTTTGCGCCATTTTTATTTTAATACCAAATCTGCCAATTTTATATATACGAAGCATGTAGAGAGTTTTTCAATCAGTAATATTAAAGTGTTGTTCGCATACGATAAAGTTCGACTACTCGAGTTGGTATATTATTCAAGAACAAAGTGGTGTGGTATTTTTTGGCCAACAAATTGCAGGTCACATTTATTATGCGAATGAAATTGACACTTCTCATGTATTTGACCATAAGACAAACCCTATTAAAATATATGATAATTTCTTTAAGATGTAAATAAAGTTCTCACATACTTTTGCGTCCGATTTCACGAAACAGTTGTTTAATTGATAAAAAAATTGATGAAAGCGTGCTCTGAATTTATTTTGTCTACAATGGCTTGTGTCAATTTATTTTGAAATCGTTTTTGATTTAGATATACCTCCCACATAAAAATTTATGTAAAAGACTAAATGTTTGTCCGATTTGCATGAAATTTTGCGTAGACCTTTGTCAGATTTTATGTACAAAATATTTTGTTTTTTTTTTTTTTTTGTAAAATATTTACCACCGGTATGACTTGACTTCCGGATCAGGAAAACATTCATGGTCCCTTCTAAGTCCATAGAACTTTGAACTTCCGCAAATCTTGTGCTCATAACTTCGTCATTTATGGATCAGAAAAATTCGAGTAAAAACAAAGCATTTTTTACGCTTTCAAAAAATATTTAAAATGTACAAAACAAAGTGTATAAGGATGTCTAAAACTTTAATAAGCATGCAACTTTATTTATATGCATTAAAAAAGGTGAACAAATAATGGACTATTACATTATATCTTCATCTTTTTTAATAGTCTTTCTTAAGTTTGTAGATAGAAAAAAAAATAAACTAAAAAAATCGAACGATTTTATGGTGTTTTAAAATAAAGCAAGGATATCATATGGAGTAGTTATAACATACAACAATATATAGAACTAAGATCAGGCTCTTATTTATCGCAGTGTGATCTTTAGTTCTGAAATCTTCTTGTTTGCATATTAAACTGCATGAAAAAGGCTAACGTGCGAAATAATGTGTAGGTGGTAACGAGAACAAATGATAATCGACATTATATTCCTTTGTTGTGTTCACGTTCTTCATTTAAAATAAAGTGAGGAACGTGAATGAAATATTTTTGCAAAGAGAAAATATAAAAACACACACACACACACTTCGATCGAAATTAATACAACTGCTTCCACTAATTGGATATTTCCTATTGTTCATATTTCTGTATTGTAGTCTGCTTGCGGACATCCCTACGTATGATTTGTTCTCGAAACCACCATCAACACATGTTTTACGACAGCCGGCGTTATTCCTTTATTAAATACCAGTTCTATAAACGTAAAGACTGTAAATAATGTCTGTGCCTAAAAACCCCATAAAATCGTTCGATAGAAACGGTAAGCATGAATTCAAATATCACACCTTTATGAATCAGATCTAAATTGAAAGGGATTCAATTGTGTATATTCTTCCTTTGGAAATTATAGGAGCTTTATGGCTGAAATGCATATTTATGTTAATCAACTGAGACGTACAATTACGGCTCGAGAGACAGGATCAAACAAGCAGTCAGCTAGCAAATCGTGTGCACTGTCGCTGGTTCGTCAGCTTTATCACTTGGGTGTGATTGAGGCTTTTACTGGTACTCTGAAACAGCGTAAAGACGATGAAGAGCTAACGCCCTACCCGGTTAAGGTAGCACCCGAGCTCCAACAGAGAATCGAGGAAGTCATTAATGAAATGAACTTACCAGTTATTAATATAAATAATATTAAACCTGACCCAGAGACAAACATTATAAGTTTGCAAGTAAGTATATCGCATTTTTATCTATGTATATATCAATGCTAAACATTTAAGCAATAAAAAAATTTATAAAAATAAAAAGCTAGGAAAAAATTAAATAACAAAAATGTCTTGAAATGATTACAAATATCTCAACAAAATGTCTAATTTAGTTCCCATAAAAATGATTATATTTAATGACATTTCCTACCTTTGCTTTCATCCAACTAACTCCTCGATTTATATTTTAGGTAAATACAAACAAAGAAGTTAATCGTCAGCGCAACGATAACCAGCAAATGGTCGCTTCAATTGTACCATGGGCTCCACCCCAGCCAAATTGGAATGCATGGAATGCCTGTAACATTGATGAAGGTTACCTAGCCACTGCATCCCTAGATGATTTGTGTAAAGACTTGGAAAACGCCGCCAAAGAAAAACGTCAATTCAATACGGAATATCAAAAGTTTTTGGAATTTCGACAAAAACTACCAATCGCTGCTATGCGTAATGAAATCATGGATGCCATTAATGACAATCCAGTGGTTATTATTCGCGGTAACACAGGTTGTGGTAAGACCACACAAATTGCCCAGTATATTCTAGAAGATTATATTTCATCTGGCCAGGGTGCCTATTGTAATATTTATGTAACTCAACCTCGTCGTATATCAGCCATATCGGTGGCCGAGCGTGTGGCTAATGAATCTTGTGAAAATTTAGGAGAATCTGTCGGTTATTCAGTACGTTTTGAATCAACCATGCCACGGCCTTACGGCGCCATTCTATTTTGCACTGTTGGTGTGCTATTGCGCAAACTGGAGGCAGGTCTGCGAGGCATTTCTCACATCATTGTCGATGAAATTCACGAACGTGATGTTAACAGTGATTTCCTTTTGATCATTCTTCGCGATATGGTTCATACTTATCCTGATTTGCGCATCATTCTCATGTCTGCTACAATTGATACCACACTTTTCTCCGAGTACTTTGGCAATTGCCCAGTCCTGGAAGTCCCTGGACGCGCATATCCTGTTCAGCAATTTTTCCTTGAAGATTGCGTTGAAATGACGAAGTTTGTACCACCACCAGACTCGCGCAAAAGAGGCAAGGATAAGGATGACGAAGAAAGTGCAATTCTCACGGAAAATGGTGAAGATCCTTCTGACCAAAATCTAAATAAAGTCGTTGACAACTCATATTCGCAACAAACTAAGACCACCATGGCGGCATTGTCCGAGTCCGAGTGTTCATTTGAATTAATTGAGGCATTGTTGTCACATATCAAATCCAAGAACATTCCTGGAGCTATATTGGTATTCTTGCCCGGTTGGAATTTAATTTTTGCCCTGATGAAATTTTTGCAAAATTCAAGTCAGTTTGGTGGTCCCCAATACCGTATTTTGCCATGCCATTCACAAATTCCTCGAGAAGATCAACGCAGAGTTTTCGAGCCTGTACCCGATGGCGTGACCAAGGTATGCAATCAACATACTTCTATATATTTTTTATTTAATCTTCTAGGATATCTTTGGTGTAATAATAGACATTTTATCCATTTCTTTTTAGATTATCTTGTCAACAAATATTGCCGAAACCTCCATTACCATAGATGACATAGTGTTTGTCATTGATTTGTGCAAAGCTCGAATGAAAATGTTCACCTCACACAACAATCTTACCAGTTATGCCACCGTCTGGGCCAGTCGCACGAATTTGGAACAGCGCAAGGGTCGAGCTGGTCGTGTACGTCCCGGTTTCTGTTTTACTCTTTGCTCAAAGGCACGTTATCAGGCTTTAGAAGAGTATTTGACACCGGAAATGTTCCGTACTCCATTGCATGAGATGGCTCTGACCATCAAGTTATTGCGCTTGGGTACCATACATCAGTTCTTGTCGAAGGCTTTGGAACCACCACCATTGGATGCTGTAATCGAAGCTGAAGTATTGTTGCGTGATATGCGTTGTCTGGATAGCAATGATGAATTGACTCCTTTGGGTCGTATCTTGGCTAGACTGCCCATTGAACCGAAGTTGGGCAAAATGATGGTGTTGAGTACAGTGTTTGGTTGTGCTGATATTACCGCTACCATGGCTTCATATTCCAGTACATTTTCTGAAATCTTTGCATTGGAAATGGGCCAGAGACGCTTGCAGAATCACCAAAAATCCCTAGGTGGCAATAAGTGCTCGGATCACGTGGCTATGATCGTGGCAAAACAAATGTGGGAATCAGCCCGCCGTAAGGGAGACGATGAAGAGATACGTTTCTGTGAGTGGAAGGGTTTGCAATTATCCACTATGCGAGTGTTGGCTGAAGCCAAAAATCAACTCTTGGACTTGCTTGTGCAAGCTGGATTCCCTGAAGAATGCATGATTTCCACGCATGTTAATTCCAATTCCGATGATCCCCTTTTGGATGTATCTATCGCATTGTTATGTATTGGTCTATACCCGAATATTTGTTATCACAAAGAAAAGCGCAAAGTCTTGACCACAGAATCCAAGGCAGCTCTTATTCACAAGACATCAGTTAATTGCAGTAATTTGGCAGTAACATTCCCATATCCTTTCTTCATCTTCGGCGAAAAGATTCGCACACGCGCTGTATCCTGCAAGCAAATGACTATGGTGTCGCCATTACATTTGCTTTTATTCGGAAGTCGCAAAATTGATTTGGTTAAAGATAATATTGTGCGCGTTGATAACTGGCTTAACTTCCAAATGGATCCTCATTTGGCCGCAACGTTGGCAGCTTTAAAACCTGCCATTGAAGATCTAATAACAAAGGCATGTGATGAACCTTCAGAGATCCTTAACTTAAGCGAGACAGAGGGGAAATTAGTGCAGGTTATAAAAGATTTGTCGGTAATGACAGCCGGCGATTACGAGATACAGCGTGAAAAGGGTATAATGCCTTTCCAAAGTCGTGGACCACCACGAGGAGGAGGGGATGATGCAGGTCCCAATAAGCGTGGTCGCTTTGATGGAGGTGGTTTTGGTGGTGGTAGCGGCGGTGGATTCGGGGGAGGACGCAGTGGTGGCTTCGGAAATGGTGGTGGCAGCTTTGGAGGTGGACGCAGTGGTGGCGGTTATGGAGGTGGTGGCGGTTATGGTGGTGGACGCAGCGGTGGTTATGGCAGTGGTGGCGGTTATGGAGGTGGTGGACCGAATTGGAATCGGGGAGGTTACGGAAATCGTCGATTTTAATTTATATCATATAGTCAACCAATATTATATTCGTAAAAGACATACATATATAATTTTATTGGAAATATTACAAATGTATGTGTAAGACAGATTCTCTATATTATTTATAATAAACATATAAAATATTACTTCAAAATTTGCGGTTGCCTTGTTTTAACTACACATTAACATAAGCGGGAAAACACTTTAATGTTCTTCATATAAAGCTAGGGCCACAGCTAATGCTATAGCTGCAAAAATGCCAACATACAAACCAATTAGTTTCCAGTTAATTGGTTCTTTGGCTTTCACCTCAACCGTTTTACGTTCTTTGGGCTTGCGCTTGCTAAATTTCTTTTCGAATTGTTCGACTTCCAAACGGTTTCGTTCCTCTTCTTGTTTTTTAAATAGTTCCTGTTCGCGCTGACGTGCTAACTCAATACTTCTCTGGGTTTCCACACAGTTTTCATCACAGTCTAGCTTTGTAAGACCCGAACGATGTTTATCGCAGGTAATTTCGAGTTTTAAACGTTTGCATTGGCAAAATATACGTATTTTCTTACGACAAGCCTCTGGGTAGGGACATGGACCAGAATGACATTTTGCTGTACACCGATGGCCACAAGGATACTGAAATATAGAGATAGATTGTAAAATAGCAATTTGTATAATAAGGAAATATTTACATTTTTGAGGCAACGATTGCCACAGCTTTTCAGATTCTCCTGTCTTTCCGCTACATCATTGTCCGTTCCACCTGTGCTGTAATAATCACTACATTTGTAGACAATGGGCATAAGACCGCAATGACACTTGGTTTTAATTGCTACACTACATGGCTGACATGGTGGCAAATGGCATGGTCTAGGACATGCGTGTGTACAGCCTTCTGGGCGTGGAATAAGGCAGCCTTGCTCACATGGTGCACAACCAACTTGTTGCTAAAATGAAAAATCATAATTATTAAGAGAAAATTGAATATTATGTTGACTTACATTCATATCTTTAATATCTGGAACACTATGACAAACTAGCGGACATGTATGATTTCCACATTTCAACTGACGGTTACATAAACGTTGACATGAACTTGGTTTCGAATTCCAGCAAGGCCATTCAGCCACCTCATGCCCCCCTATACAAGTAACGGATACTTTTTGTTCACATCGAGGATGAGGCAGAGGTTTAATTTCCACCTAATAATCAAATATTAATTTAAGCCGTTATATTTTTCTTATCTTTTATTACCTGTTTTGATGGTTCCCAAATACTGGCATTATTTGACTTTTTAATAGTCCTAACAGCAGCATGACATTTAGCATTGCAAACATGACCACATTTAGAGACATCATTCAATAAGCCACAAGGTTGTGAACACGGCGGGCACTCATTTTTGTGACAACGATGTTTGTTATAATGGTGACATTTTGAGGGAATTCTACAAAATATGGCGAATTTTAAGCAACACACAAAATAAATGATTCTAATTTAGAGAATACATACCTACACGGTTCCAAGCAGACAACACGGGCTGTGCGTTCACGTCCACAAGGCACGACTTTCTTTGTTTTTCCACATCGGCAATGAATTTGGGATTGTTGTTGACATGGATAACATGGACCTTTGTGACAGATGGATTGGCATTTGTGTTTTCCGCACGATAAAGGTTTGCCACAAACTTTATCACATGGAGGACAATTCTTATCACAACACTATAGAAAACCAAATGTAACATCAGCACACTATTCCCTATGTTTGGGTATGAATATAAAAATTACCTTACGGTTGCATGGATGCTTTTCACAATCTCTAATTTGCTTACATTTCGTCTCGCATGTAAATTCCTTGGAACATGGCAATTCTTTTTCATGCATGCCACAACGGCATTTCTTTTTTATAATAATCAAGCACTAGAGGATTGAAAGAAATTAATGTATTCTGTTATAACCAGTGAAACCGAAAACACTTACCAAATTGCAATTTCCTTTGTGGCAACGTTGTGTGCAACTGTGCAGTTGACAAGGCAACAACTTTTGGCACGTATCTCCACATGTATCTATTGTTTCAGTGCATGGTCCAATTTTTTTCTGCCTCAGATAAAATTGGTTATATAACTCAATTATTATATTACTCGTTATAAGATGTACTTACAGTTTTCCCACAGGGACATGAGCGCGGCAAACTTAATGGACATTGACCGCAATTGCCAGAATGACATATTTTTTTGCATACATGCAGACCGCATGAGTAATTACGGTTGCAGACGTTTTTACAACGCCATTCCAAGTCATAACATGGCCTCCGGGCACTTTCTCTGCCACACTCACATCGTTGTTCACTTGTTTTATTGCAGGGTGGGCATTGTCCTGGTTTGTGACACACCCGATCACAATTGTGTTCTCCACACTTTAAACGGCGATTACATTTCGTTTGACATTCCCATTCTTTGTCAATGCACCGAACAGATTTCGGGACAGATTTGCCACATTTACATGATGTATTCGCATATTGGGCACACGGTGGACAAGGACCAGGATGACACAAAAGAGTACATTTGTGGCCACAGTTGGGCTGCAAAGCTTTTCCACATATTTCGCCACACGAATGAGGTACTAGCCAAGGTTGAGAAGGTGGATTTACTTCTTTGCCACAAAAACATTCATATGTTGATGGTTTTTCCTCGGGCATGAATTCTTTACGGCACTGAGGACAGCACCAATGTAGGGCCTTTTGCTTTTTGGGTGGCACATACTCTCCCAAATGATTGTAATAGCCCTGCTGGTCATTTTGAGCCTTGGCTTTGATCTGAGCCATGCTATCATTGGCCCATCTTTTAATACAATTCAAATGGAAAAGACAATAACAGTGTCGGCAGGACCAAACTGCATCTGTCCGTTTTATACTACCAATACATATAAGACACGTAGCCGCACCGGATTGCAAAATGTTCTCAAGAAAGCCGCTTGTTTTAGCCAACAAGCGTTCGTCCACTTTTTCCTTGTCATAATGTTTATATAATGTATCTACAAATATTTCGAAGATCATGATTTAATTAATTTCGCAGAGGTTTTAATTCATAATACTCACTTAAAATAGCCTTTTCGTCCAGTTCATCCTCGTCGGAATCAGAAGACTCATAGTTTTCAACCATTTTTCTGGCAACATCAATGTTGCGGGCATGGACTTCATTGAATTTTTGTGTGACATTTGTGGTGTTATCCGATTGGGACTTTTTGGTTTTAGCAGGAGGCATTGTCGTAGGAATAATTCAGATGGACACGTAGGAATACCGCAGAGTTGTGTCGTTCCCGAACGAACCAGTTCAAATGAGTGAACGATTGTGTGAAGTGAAAGATCGGAACTAGGTTAGATTTAATAAGGTATATGGATCAGAACAGCTGATAGTATAATGAGATGTCAAAAGGTAACTGTAATTTGAAACGAAATATTAAAAACAACATTTTGAATAAAAATCTCAGAATTTTTGAATTATTTATCGCGCAATACATTCCGAATAAATTTGTATGAACAAATTAATAGTTGTCAATGGTCAATATCAAAAATGTTGACAGTATGAGGGTACAGTCGAAATAGCTTATAATGTCGGTGAAGGTACCGGCGAAATTGGTCGTGATATGCAATATCAAATAAAGCATTGAATTGTTTTTGAGACTTTAGTATACCGTCACTATAACTGATTTGATGTCATAAACGATTCCGACTGTGTTACTATCGAAATCAATATTTTTATTTTAAAAACTTTATGCTGTTAAAATTTGTGTTTACGTTTTCCTACGATCTGGCCTGGTTTTATTCTTTGACCTTACAGCCTTACCTAAAATTCACGTTCGACATTTTTCACCACAAAAGTAGAACACATATATTTATATGAATGTTACCGAAATACGTCGAACGTACAAAATTTCAAGTTGAACAATTTCAACTTTGACAGAACGTATTTTTCATTTTTTTCTTTTGTTGAAAATAAAAACAAAACATTCAGGAAATTTGAAATTTCGAATGAAAACGAGAAATATGTGGATAAATTTAATAAATTTTCAATTTTGTTTTGCAGTTTGTATTATTTGCTTGAAGATATGGATACGACGTATTTGAGTAATACGGCCGTACACAACATTTTGCCATAGTGGGGAAGTTGAATATTTTTGTACGCCCCGTCGGATTTCAGGTAACGTTGTTATATAGTAAATATCTGATCTGTTCCCGTAGTTAAGGTGGCCATACGTGTTCTTTTTTAGAGGAGAATCAATTATTTTAACTGGCTGTTATCTATATAATTTAGGTTCTCTATCTGTCATTTATTTCTATAATTTGTCATCTTTGTCATCTATATTTTTAAAACCGTGATCAATATTTATTTTTGTAAATAAAATCAAATTAATAAATTTTATGAAATTTCAGTGAAAAAACTCTTAGGTGTGGTTACTATGATTCGTAATGTAAAGTACGCCTTATTCTGGATATTGGCTTGGGAATAATCTCATTAGTGAGAAATTTCCCCTTATCACTTTCTCAACTTCTCCTAAGTGTTAATTTTACAGAGGTATGGAAAAAATATTTTAAAAGAAGTTTCGGACACGTGCTTTTACGATACATAAGCTTTGTCTGTTTTTTTTTTTTATATTTGGTAATATTTGTTTCCAAATGTTTTTGAATGTTGTCTGTTAACTATAAAGTTCAGTGAAAGAGAAAAAGAGCTAGTTTGACAGTTCTACGCTGAGAGTTTTTTTTGAGTTTTTATCCTGATTTGGTTGGTATTTCGCGATCAAAAAGTTGACAGCTAGAGAAGACTAAGGCATGAATTCACCTTCAACAATAAATTTGACAGTCAATGAATACTTTGAATTCGCCTCCTTGTTAACCTTATGAATAATCCTTGGAAAAAAAACCTTGATTTGAGCGAGAAAATGGTTGATTTCGAAGTGGGGAGGGAGGGAGGAGGGAGGGATTTATTTATTTCCATATTAGAGAAGGCATAATCAAATATTTTGTTTGGGACATTTACAATTTGAATTTATGAAGGGACAAGAAATCCCCTTGCCGAATACCTATTTTAGAAAATCATTGATGTCCTGCCACTGTCAGACAAATCTCTGAATATTAATTGTTTTGAAATGAGAGAGAAAAAGAACATTGCTGTCTCTATGGTACTTTATACCAATGAAATTACGACACCGAATCGATTATATCTACATAATTTGAGAGAACCAAGTGATGTTTTCAATTGTTTAAATACTGATTTTTTTTGTTCAAATGTGTACCAATATCTATTTAATTTCTTTCTCTTCGACATCCAATGTCCAAAGCAAATCTATCCGACCCATGTTGTTGTATTTTCTCATTTTGAAAAAAAAAACATTATTTTCGGTTGCATCATTTCACATAAAAGGATTTACTTTTTTACTTTTAGTCATTAGAATATATATAACAAAAATTTAAATTTAAAGCCATGGTTATAACATATGGATATGTATGTAGTCGTATATAGAGCAGGTAAACCCGTTAACAAGTGAAGAATTATGGAACATCATTACTGGCCAGCAATCTGTAATAGAATAAGCAAATATACATTTTATAACAACACGCAATCAGAATGATTAAATAAATATATACTTACAACAACAAGATGTCCACTTTTATCACGTATAACTCCTGGTTCTCCGCCACCCGTTTGTATATCGATAACACCTGATTTGCCCTTAGCCATATTGTGCACCAAACTGAAATAGAATTACAAAAACAGAACAAATTAGAATCCATTGTTGAGAGCATGGAAAATAGTAAAACTTACGAATCTCTCTCCACAATTTTCAATACATCCGCAGTGCCCACAGTATCAATAATGTATGTGCAGAATTCAATAAGATATGGTATCTCAAGAATAAGATCACCTTTGTCCTTTTTCAAATCGAGGGGAATACGAATTACCATTAAGTCATCACTGTGATTGGTTAAATCGAAGTCAAGTTTCTCTAGAGGTAAACGATGTTTTTGTTTGTAGGTTTTTCCATCCAAAACATAAATGGCCTTATTGCTCAGCAATATAAAACGATCACGAGGCTTGTAACCATGACGATCGTATTTCGTGCAGGCAGAAGAATATTTCAGAGTTTCACCATTGAATGAGTTGTTAATAAAACTGTTAACGTTTGTGTTATGTTCACTCGGTATACGATCAGTTTTGAACCATTGTGATACGCTGGCCGGATAACTGCTCTTTTTATCTATAAAAAATAATGAGATTTAAAATATTTAATTTATTAATTGAATTATTTAATTTTCAGTAACTTCTCATAAAATATTCAGATTTATTAGTTGTGTGCATTACAAACGATCGGTGTCGACTAGAATATATAAATTTTTAATCCAAATAGTAAAACTACTTTTTCCTCAACTACCTAATCGAAGTAGACCACCTTCGATTAGTGGCTTTATGACCATATAATTTAAAAGTTAATGTATTTCCCAGCTTGTTGTAAAGTAAACCAACGATTTCCAGTACAATCTCGAAAGAAAAAAGATAATCTACAAATGAATAGGTCACCATTTAAGATTTCTTGAGGAAATCAAAATCAAAAATTAAATTCTTATTAAAAATTGCTGCTCATAAATTTGAACAATTGCTACATCTAATTTAAAATCAGATTTTAGAAATGGTCTAATTTACCTATTAAAATTTGTAATTCTCAGCTATACAACTGACAAACGTTATCCCAGGATGCAATCCACTCTAATACATTATGCGTAAATCTCCACCCATTACAATTCAATGGCCCCGGTAATAAACCAATCATAAAAAAATTATAATAAATTATCAATTATTTCCCCTTACCTTTGAATACTTTTTCGGCCAGAACCTTCAATTCAAATTGTCGTTTACGTTCCTCCGATAATGCCAAACGATATTTACGTGCCAAATGTAAACGATGCAGACGATGTAAATATGTGGAGGCCTCTTGACAATGTGATGGCGCCGATGGCCATCTCATGTCCATAACTTTAGTGGGCAATTCTTTAGCTAATCTCAACAGCCACATGCGCTTGGCATTGGCAATGAACTTTTCGTTGTAACCATTGGGTGGATCGTTGCGTGTAATGAACCCTTTGATAAAGGCGCGTATCTTATCGGCTGCTTCACGGCGTTTTTTGGCAGCCTGTTGGGCCAAATAACGACGACAGTATGACTGCAAGATAATCACCTGTTCACGTAGTTTCAAATATTTACGACGTTGCACGCGTCCCTTCCAGCGGGCTTGTAAAATCGCCGCAATGTCATGTTTCTTTTCCTGGAAGGCATCTTCAGTTTCGAACAGGGTTTTGGGGAAACGAATGAAAAGTTTAGTTTCGCCTAGGCGATAATCTTCAGGACCATAGTTCAATTCTTTAACCAAAATTTTCACTCCCTCTTTGGCTGGGCCGTTGTAGTTTGGCCAGGTTTGCTTGCTCAAGCACTTGTAGCGATTAAGGAACAGTTCATAAAGACGGCGATAAGCAAAACCAGCTCTGCGTACTCTCAAATTTTCCATTAGACCCAAATATTTGACTTGGTGCAATACCAATTGATCGTCAAAGACATCGGACTTTTGCAGGTCATTGGGTTTAATGCAGCGAATATAGGAAGGTTCTTTGCACATAAGAATATCCATTAAATTATTCAGGGAATTTCTGAATTGGGTAACGGCAGTATCGGGCCTCTTTTTCTCCAAGTACTCTGCTTCGGGGAAGCATACACGCACCACATGGTTATCGGCCTTGCTCATGGTCTCCTTCAAGTCACGGAACAACAAGTCGTTATTCTTATCCAGGAATCCAACAACATTATAGGTTACATCGCCGGCATAGTGGACCAAACGGAATTCGTCACGTCGCATAGTCTTTTGCACCTGAATTGGTGCCTTTTCATGGCACAAATAGTGAGCATGGTCACCCAAGCGATCGCTCAGCTTGGACAAGAAAGTCAAATCGGTGGGTTCACCAGGACGCAAACATTCCTCATCCAGAATGGAAATAATGCCCTTGTGTTTCTCTTCGATTAGATTGCAAATGACTTTATTGTCGAAGTATTCGACAGGCACCCATTCAATACCCTCACGTCTGTATTCATCCTGCTCAGACTTCAGTGTCAATTCAATAAACAATTGTTGCAACTTTTCATTGCAGAAATTAATGCAGAATTGTTCAAAACTGTTGGTCTTGAAGATTTCAAAACCGTAAATATCCAAAATACCCATGACATTGTTGCGAGCAGTGCGCAAGTCTTTGGCTTGCAATGAGACATTCAAGCGTTGTACCAGCCAAGAAAACAGACGATCGTAGATGGCTTTGGCCAGGGCATCGCGAGCATAAACGGCCATTTCATGATTCAAAGGCGATGTGACGACATCACCTCGGGCATCAATGGTGCGATGAGTTAAGGCATTTTTCAATTCCTCCACATGGACGCCCAGGAGATCGGCAATAGTGCGAACACATTCGATATTGGTGATTTGGGCTTTGCCTTCTTCTTCGGTGAATTGTACATTGCCCAAGTGCAAAACACTGGCGATAACATTGAGGATTTGTCTTTGCTCTGTTTCGGTGAAATCGATGACTTGCATGGCCTGCATAACGTGGCGGAAGTTTTCGGCATCGTTGATCGACGAGACAATACCCTTGTCCTGGAAAATAAATTAACAAAAATATATATTAATGATTTTTTGGATGCAATTGTATTGCATTGTATATTTGTATATCCTTCTACTTACACCATCACTTAGATAGGCATAATCTTGCAAAGATCGTGTCAACTTCATTGATTTCAGTTGATCGTCAGTAGCACCAGCCAACAGTTGGTAGAAAATGTGGAAATTACGTTCGCCACTGTTCTGATTGATTACACGTGACTTCTCCAGTAAATACTTTAGAATATTGCCGCCAATTGGAGTGCCGGTAAAATCGAATTGGATGTCCATATATTTGCCGAAGCGTGATGAGTTATCATTACGATTAGTTTTGGCATTTCCGAATGCCTCCAACAAGGGATTACTCTTCAAAAGTTTATCTTTGACATTTTCAATTGTTGCCTGGTTGCCGGAACAGGCGGCAATATATTGTAGAACTTTTTTTGAGGCTTCAGTTTTGCCGGAACCACTTTCACCTAAAAAATAATGAAAATAATATAAGTAAATGAATATTTTTAATGGGAATTCAAAGTGGGGGAGGATGATTCACAATTTGTTTACCCTTACATCTTATTAGAAAGATACCTTTACCTTGTTTACCCTTACATCGTAATAGAAGGATAATGGATAACTTATGTGTATATAATTTTTAAGCCCATAATCCTATATGAGAGTGCAATACTTCTATATATACGCCAGTGATCAGAATATAACTCTACGTCGACTTATATGATTGGAATATACTTTTTTGTTTATTGAAACCATTATAAATGCCTTGGAGGGTGAAAATAATTATTGCCGAAAATTAATATAGGGCCATGTCCCATTCATATTCGGAATTGTAAAATTGGCATTGTCAATGAACTTTTCATTGTTACCATTGGGTGGGTTGCGTTGTAATGAACCCTTTGATAAAGGCTCGTATCTTATCGGCTGCTTCATGGCATTTTTTGGCAGCTGTTGCGCCAAATAACGACGACAATATCATTGCAAGATAATTACCAGTTCACGTAGTTTCAAATATTTAAGACGTGGCACTCGTCCCTTCCAGTGGACTTGTAAAATCGCCGCAATTTTCCTGGAAGGTTTCTTTTCCGTTTCGAAAAGGGTTTTGGGGAAACGAATGAAAAGTTTAGTTTCTTCGGGGCCATTTTCCAATCGAAGGGGGTGAAATTTTTTGAATTTTTTTTAGGGAGTGAATTTTTTTACGGTTCTAGGAGGGTGAAAATAATCATTGACGAATATTAATACAAGGCCATGTTTTGATTCAGTGCCCACATAATCCGATTCATATTCGAAATTGCAACATTTTTATTTACATTTTTCATCCGGCGGGTGAAAAATATTTATGCAGAAAATTTGTTGGTACTTGTATCAATTTGCAACCGATGCACAGTGGGTTAGAATACCCTGTTTCCTTGGATTAATTAAAAAAATAAATTTTAAGTATCGTTAAAAATTTTTGCACACGGTTAAAACATATAAAATTCTACATCACTTGTCGTTGAAATAAATGTCAAAAGTGGACTGGTGTTTTTGTAGTGAAACTTCAAAGTCAAACTTCATACAAATTTTTGTGCCAAAAAAGGCTGAAAAAAGTGAAAACGTTCCCGTTGAAAATTTTATTTATTTTAAAAAGTATTGTAAAAGTTAAACATTTTTCAACGGAACCATGAAATTTAGGTTATTATGCAAATACTTCGTTAACATTTGAGTATGAAATTGTGTTTGGAAGTGATTAAGATTTAGTTATTTATATTGAAAATGCCAAAAAAATTAATATTTTTATATTTTAAATGGATAAATAGTTATTATTCGTCCACATTCGTGTCATAATTTTTGGTTTATATTAAAGAGGACATAAATCTGTGTTATATTGCAAAATTTTACGCTGCCCTTTTGTGCCTTTTAGAAGCTATGCATTGTTTAATACAAGTGTTGCAGCAGTCAAATTAGCTAAAAGTCACATTGATCTCGTGGCTGGTGCTGTTGTTGAGTGTTGTGTTTTCTTGTTTTTCATGTTATTTTTTCTAATTATTTTATTGTTGTTTTTTTGTTTCTTTTAATAATATTCTTTGTTACAATAATATTTTTGTTTTTGTTTATTTTAATAATATTCATTGTTTTGACAAATAGTGATTGTGATGTGCAGTTTCAAGTAGTCAGGTAAAAGGGTTCTTTATTAGCATTTTTTTTATAGGTACAAGTTCGAACGTTGTTTTTTATAATCGTCGAAGCTTATGATGAATTCGAGCGCTCAAGCAATGAATGACAATATGACATTTTTAGCTAAAGAAATCAAAAAAACGCACCAAAATTTGCCGAAATAACAAAAATATATGTTAATTTAATAAAAATGCACGTGTCGGTTATAGCTGTATCCAGTGGCCATGAGATTAATAATGAAAAATATCAAATATATGCACACAATACAGGACGACTTTTTGTTGAAACGTATCCTTGCCTACCACTTTGCACAAGTTTTTTATTCAGGGACCCGAAATTGTGTCAAATGCCCTTTTACATATTGAGCAATTATCAGAAGTTGGTGATGCTGCGGACAGAGATGGCCTGTCAGAAACAGTGACGTAAATGACATACATTTCTGACGTATAATACATACGTCAGAAACGTCGGAAACCCACTCAAAACCATTATGTTTTTTTTATAAAAAAGCTATTTACATTTATCGATTTGGAAATAACGTATGCTTTACTCACATTCATATCGAATATCAAAATTTTTTTCTTAAAAAAATTCAGAATTTTTTTATCAGTTCTAGTAAAGAATAGCCAGATATACAGTAAAAATAATATATGTTCTTGAAAATTACTGTATATGGTGATAATATTGAAATAAATGACGTTTACTACATTTTATACAGGTATATTACGTTTTCGACGTTTACACCTTTTTGGCAGTCGAAAACCTGAAAATTCGTCATACGGACCATCCCTGGCTGCGGATGATGATGATGTGGATGATTAACTTTAAGATGTATAAAATTCAATGTTTAAGTTATCATATTGTACTCCTTGCACTATATACCTACACTGATATTTGGCACTACTTAATAAAATTATACTCAAATATACTTAGAAAACATTTTTTTTAAACTTATTTTAATGGTATGAACTGAAAAATAAAGAAAAATTATTCTAACATTGCTTCCCTGATTTGATCCAAGAAAACATCGTACTCTAACCCACTGTGCGATGGGGCTGATATTTACATTCCCGGTTCTTGGAGGTCAAAAAATGTATTTTTAGAAAAGTTTCAATATAGTATATTGAGGACCTTAGGAATATTTTTCAACCGAAGTGGCAGTAATTTGACATTCCAATGAAATTCGGATATATCGGACCGTTTTAGTCCCCCCTTATATTCGTTTTTTTGTATTTTGGGCATTTTTCTTAACTAAATTGACTATAATTTGGAAGTTTGGGGTCACATTGGATAGAAAATATCACAACCAAAAATGACCAATATTGGTTTTTGGGCTAGCTCCCATATAACTGTATCTACAAAATTAATGTATTTTCGCGAGTTTGGGCACGTTTTTTTTACCAACTTTTACATTTTGAAGTCTCATTAGGTAGAAAATTTTTCTATGAAAAAAATGTCCATATGAGCCCAAGTTTCAAGATAGACCGCATATAAGCGAATCCTTCATTATTTCTTGGGTTCTTATTTGGAGTAAAATTTTCTTACGAAAAATTATTAATATCGATTCAAGGTTTGATATAGCCAACACATTACGGTACCCTAGATTTTCGATGTTTTAAGGATTTTTCCTCCAATAGTATCTTTAGTTTGATATTTCGGTTTTTTCAGGGCAGTAGTTTACCATGGGTAAATATCCTGATCAATTTTATGTTTCTTTGAGATTTGGAGGATATACTGAGTTCATCCCGGCGAAATTTCTTTTACTTTCCCAGTAACATTTACACAGTAAAATTTGCAGAGAGTAAAATACGAATTTTTCCTTCTCTAGAGAGAAAATTGAAAAACGTAAACGAACAACATCCAGTAAAAAGATTGTATCGACACAGCTGATTAAAACAACAAACAATTTGGCGCAAACAAAAATAGCAGCATTTTAATTAGAAAAATGGATAACAAGTGGAAAATTTATGTTGTTTATAAATATTTGGGTTCTCTTTATACATTTTAATGTTTGATGATACAAAATCAAAATAAATTTCGAAAAGCAACCAATTTGCTTGAGAACAATTTTGTTGTTTGTTTACAAAACATTACAAAACAGCTGATTAAATATCAGCTGATTGTACAAGAACAATTTTACTGAGTAAATTTTCCTTGTAAGAATTTGGAAAAACTCAGTAACACAACTGTCAAATCTACTCTCTAAATTCACTCTCTTTTACTGGACTTTTGGGTAAACGAACAACATTTTGTAATAATTTGTACAAATTCTTGAGTACCTAACGAATGAACCTAATGATTTTACTTCAAAATGTGTAATAATTCGATATAAAAAATGACAGAAAGATACAATTGACCTTTGAACTTTACGTACTTTTTTGTTAAAAAATACCAACAAATTTTATTTCATTTATTTTTCATTGTTAATATATATCATCGATGTATGTCGAATAAAATAATTTACTCTCATCAAAATTGTATTCAGAATTTTAGTACTTTAAAGGTTCTTATCATCATCAAACACGAAATGCAATCATACTTGTCTTTCAATTTCATATGAAAAAACGCAAACTTTTTAGAGATTTTGGCAAATATTTACGTATACAATGGAAATTCTATTTACGTAGAACTGTCGACAGACAGACAAACATACATACAAACATTTGTTCAGCTTGCATATAAGAAAACATACAAATCCACATTTCAGACATACTAAATAATTGCTAAAAATAACGGTTACTTACCAGAGATTAGAACACACTGGCCTTTATTTTCTTCAATCAGTGAACGAAAGGCGTTATCAGTAACTGCAAAACTGCAAATTTGAAAAAGAAAAAAAAAATAATAAGAACATGATATAACAAAGCGTTAAATGAAGAGCCAAATAACATTGGCATAAATCATAGTATATAATCGAATATTATTATTTTTATGAAGAAGAAAATTTACAACAAATAGATTGGGAAAAAATACAAGACAACAATTCAATACTTACATGTGTGGTGGTATCTCATAAAAATGTTTATTACGATATTCCTTGATGTCATTTTCCGTATAAATTGGCAATTGTTTATAGGGATTTACCGATATCAATACTTGGCCAATATATGTCTAAAAGGTGGAAGAAAGGGGGAGAGGTGAAATCCTAATAAAATTGTTTATATGACGGTGTAATGGTAAATTTCTTACATAGATAATATTTTCCTGGAAGCGTTTGCGTAAATTATCAATAAATGCCTCTTCCGATTGATAATTTTCCAAGAGTACAAAATCTTGTACACCAACGCGATCACGATCGTGAAGTCCACGTTCCATGGCTGGTTTTGAGTCGCTGTAAAAAAATAATAACATGTTTTTATTATTATTGTGGAATTGGTATTTATCTTGAATAACAATTTGCTTAGCTAATAGTTTTAAATTTGCCAATATTTGATGCCATCTTGTTCTGCCAATTTTGGGGAAATTGAAATACATTAAATTTTGAAACTAAAAGGCAAGTTTATAAATTTAGAAAATATGAAAACAAATGCAGTGTTATAAAGTGAAAAAAAAACACTTTATAATATTTCAGATCAATAAAAGAGAAAATGGAGAACTATTTCGATTAATAAAATACCCTTTGAATTTTCCCTCAGACACAAAATGGAAGATTTTGTAACTCTGATGAAACCTGCATCGGTAGTACGTTTTGAGCACGTTCTTCAACCAAAGCAATTTAGTATTTTTAATCCTTTTTGTGTAGGAAATTTTCATACCAAAAATGATCAATATTGGCGCTCTCTTTAGGATAGCTTCCCAATACAGGTACCTCCATAATTTCGGTAGTTTGAGATTTTTTTTTTTAATTTTTTCTATCAATTTGGTTTTTATCTGATTTTTTGTGCTTTCCTTGGGTAGCAAAAATTTCAACCAAAAAATATCAATGTTGGTCCACAATTTAGCGCAGCCTGCAAGAATATACTATCTTTTACTGCGATTAAAAAGTTTTCTTTATGATATCGAAGATTCTTTATAAAGCAGATTCTTGCAGTACGGGAACAGACTAAGTACCTCCTAAATATCGGAATTTTGGAAAATTCTATCACCGAATTGGCTATTAATTAGTATTTTGAGTTCTCATTGGGTAGTAAATCTTTCTAGCAATAATTGTCAGTTTTGGCATAATTTTTAGCGCATTTTTAGTGATTTTCGAATTAATGAGGTTCACTATGTTGTGTAAAAAATTCATATGAATATCTCTTATACACTCTAATTGAGAAGCTGTAGAAGTTCCTCTGTCCCATATAAAGTGTGAGTAAATTGAAAATTTAAAACGCAATCATGTTTTTTTGAGTTATGTCTGTCTTGCCACAAATGAGCGATATGATACATCCCAAATTATTATATTGTGGAAAGTATGGTTTGTTCTCAAGAGAAAAAAAAAGATTGCTACCAAAAAATATCAGTAACGGTCCACTTTTAAGGGTAACATGGTACAATAATACAAGATAGGTGAATAACAAAGGTGAATAACAAAAATGCAATTCTGAATTTAATTTGTCTTTATAATATTTCACATGGTTGGCAACATCAACATCGAATTCAAGTAGAAATTACGCACTTTGACAGTTAATAAAGACATCAGCTACGCTAAATGAACTACATATTCATTGTGCCATGGCTTAGACCATGATTCAAAAATATGGTGATGTATCAAAACAAAACCTTGTTTTTTTCTCGATTATCTGTCAAAAATTTTCCTTATAAATTGACCAATGGTTGGCAACACTGCACATCGAGTTCAAGTAGAAATTACCCACTTTGACAGTTAATGGCTTAGACCATGATGCAATAATAAGGTGATGCATCAAAACAAAAACCTTTTTTGTCTCGATCATCTGTCAAATGTTTCTTTATAATATTTCACAGGGTTGGCAACATTGCACATCAAATTCAAGTAGAAATTACGCACTTTGATTTCATATTTATTGTGCCATGGCTTAGACCATGATTCAAAAATATGGTGATGTATAAAAATAAATACATATGCTTTTTTAACCGACCATCTGTCAAATTTTATCTATTCCTCATGGTTGGCAACATTGAACATCGAATTCTTTTGACAGTTAATCGAATAGTCAGCAGCGCCAAATGTATGGAAAAATGTTTAATATGGATCCATGTTTTGACATATTCGCCATGGAAAATGTCCCCAACCATTTGTGCATTTAAGTACATAATTTGAAAACACAGCTGCTTTTCTTATCGGTTAATGTTATTTACGTATTTACTTTTTTCTGTTTGGCTATCACTATTAAAGTAAAAGATTTATAACATTGATCCATAAATTCTTAGACGCCGGTTCTTAGCCCACATAAATGTCGAATATTATAAAATCGAACAATCTTATCGATTTTGTTTTTCTTCAAAGTAATGGGTATTTTATTGTTGTTTTTGCTCGCTTAATTTTGTTTTTAATCAGCAAAATGATGGTAAATCCATTATTTTTTTTCTTTGCCAAATTGTTATATAACTATAGGGGTAAGCAGTTGTGCAAAAGCCACAGTAAATTCTATTAATATTTATCGCTAACATTGAATTGATATCAGGGCGAAAAAAATATTTAATTAACCTTCTACTTATATAGAAATGTGGATGTAAGTGTGTTTGCAGGGCAATAACTTACATTTGTCACTTATCTAGTTTTTCTTTTTAATATACATATTTGTAACATTTTAAAATACTGTTAATGAACTTGAGATTTACAATAAACACTTGGGTATTCTAGCATTTTGTAGGACGCTATCAAAACTCTTCAAGACCTTCAGAAATCCAAACACAAACCCGAATCGTTTCTAGATATTAAGAAATTCAAATTAAATATTTTTTCCACAAAAATGCTTGAAAAAATCTCTAGTTTTACACCTTTTTCATATGTTGTTCAAAGCATTTCAATTGCAATTCGAGAATTTCATTTGTAAGTAGACAACTCAGTTTGTAATTCATTACATTTCAGTTTTAATTTTAAACTTTCCATATGAAATTCAAAAAAATCCATTTGAAATTTTAAGAATTTCAATTGTAATTCGTATATTTTCATTTGAAATTCGTAAAGCTTTATTTGAAAGTCAAAGGAATCCGTTTAAAATTCAAAGAATTCTATTTGAAATTCATAACATTGCACTTGTAATTCATAAAATTTCAGTTGCAATTCGTAACAATTAATTTCTGTTCCACTACTTTTTTAATAGTAAACGTCAGAAGAATCAGAAGTAGGCATTCCTGTTTACCATTTACCAAATTTATCGAGTAAAAACTCTACAAAGAGAACGCCATTTTGTTTTGTGCTCTCTTAAATTTGATTCAATGTTTTACCAGTTTTGCGGGTTGAGGAACGGGTTTCAAGTAAAAAGTTGCAAAATTAAATGATATGAATAACAAATGAAATGTTATGTATTTCAAATCAAATGTTATGAATTTTGTAGAACACTTTGTGTTTCAAATGCGGCTAGGACCTCGAAAACAACTAAAATGGGACGGAAACCCTTATCAATAATAAAAAATTCTGCTAGAACGTATTTAACCTTCCTAAAGGTCGTTTACATTGAACCGGATTTGGTTAACCGAGTGGGTTTAAATTTTCAATTCCTTTGATTATATGCCAAATAAATCATCATAAAGTAGGTTAACCCGGTAAAAAGTTATAATGTAAATGCCGTACTAGAATCCTGTTTACCAAATCACAGCCACATGGATTGAAAATGTGGATAGGTGCCTAAAACGGGCCTATATATGAGAGGTATGTCAATACATCGACCTATATTGATCTTTTTTGCGTATTTAACATCTAAAGAAGCAGTAATTCTAATATACAGTCACTTCTTTGAAACAAAATGTAAAACTTTTAAAATATTGAAAATAGGACAGGGACGTTATACGGCGTTTATACGGCATTTACATTAGAACTTTTTACCGGGTTAACCTACTTTATGAGGATTTATTTGGCATATATTCAAAGGAATTGAAAATTTAAACCCACTGGGTTAACCAAATCCGGTTTAATGTAAACGACCTTTTACTTAGAACTTTTTACCGGGTTAACCCACTTTATGAGGATTTATTTGGCATATATTTAAAGGAATTTAGACCCACTGTGTTAACCAAATACGGTACAATGTAAACGTACTTTTACGGCTTTTATCCTCGAAATGTTTACTTAAAAATCGATTTCATCATTTTTTTTATTTAATATGAACCTATAAATTTTCAAGAATATCTGATTAAAATTTCAAGTGAAAATCTCAACAACTCTTGAAGATATAGCCGATTTATTCTGTCAATATCAAGCGACGACAAGAGTGCTTCTCAAACTTCAAACGCGTTTTTCTCGATATAGTGTATTTACGTTTGACGGGCACGATAACTCAAAAACTATTAATCCAATCGGTTTCAAATTTTAACACGTTAGTTTAGACCTATATGGCTATCGTATGAACAAGGATAAATCCAATCGGTGAAGATCTTGCATATTTTCCAACTTAATTTTTATCCGAAAATTGGTGATTTTCGAAAAACTAATTTTGCTAGGTTCGCCATTTTCCAAATTTTTGAGCGAAGTCAATAATCCTAGTTCACACCAGAGCCAGTCTTTCTAATTTCGTTGGAATTTTGAGATTCGGATGTTCCGGTGATCGGTCCTTAAATCGAAATCTAGCTCTCACATAAATAAATATGCGTTAAAGTTGGATTCGTTCAGTTCCAATCCACTCATTATTTGTATATTTTTTAGGTTAAAATACCAGTCGTGGTATTGATTTTTCTTTACTTTAAATATATCTTTAAAAAAAATAAGAATATTTTATAATCATTCATTATTTCTTAGAAACAGTTGGAGAAATATTGGAATACTCTCATTTTTGTTGAAAATTAAACACCATCTCTTATTTATATTATAAATTGTTTATATTCATCTAGGCACATTGTAAATAACTGCTTTGTTTAGTATTCTTTTGTTTTTTGTGCGTATGTGTGTGTTTTTTTCTTGACACTTTGTTTATTTGTCATCATCTTCATCACCATAGATACCTTGGCATTTTGTAATCCTTTTTTGTTTTCTTGCCAAATTAAATAAAAAACAGTTAATTGATTTCTGATTTCTGTCGAGCGTTAAATTAAATTCCAATTTAACGATGCGTCGTCGTTAACACCCGTATGTACATAGACTCGAGGTAGGAACGGATCGAACTGTTCCATTAAACCGAACGAATAAAAGTTTTTAATAAATTTTGCTTTGGCTGGTTATCTTGGCAATTTGTTCTTTTTCATTGGCGCAATAATTGGGAGCACTACCAAAACGATTAGATAATACAATCGGGCATAATATATACGCTATTTTTGATGGCCTCGTTGCTATTTCGTGTGTGAATTTTATTGTTGTTGTTCTTTTACTGTTCATAACTTTTGCTCCGATGAAGTTTTGGCGATGTTGTTTATTTCTCCCCATATCGTAAATAGTGGTATTCACAGGTTGAGGTGATGCACACAGTTTAGCAAACAATATAATAAGAGTAGAACAACAACTACACACACAACCTCTCAATATTATAGTCAGATTTTTTTGATTTCCTTTAATATCTTATCATTAATGTGTAGAGCGATGTTACACCTAATAGACGTCAGAGATTGATATTTGGGAGACCATTGATAATATTGGAGGCTATATTTACTTTTATCATTATCATTATTATTATTTTTGCACTATATTGTCGAAGAGAGAAATAACGATTTTTGGCCACATTTTTTTATTTATACATATGTCTGATGTTTAATTTTCGTCTTTCTTAACATCGTTTTCATTCACAACTGGCATAAAAAAACGAAAATCATTCTGATATGTTTATGGATTGGTTTCTTTACTTTTATTTTCATTTGAAAAAAATCTTTCAATTAGGAAATTAGTTATAATGAAAAGAGGTGTTGTCTAACACACAGGAAATGCGTAACTATATGGAGCTATCAGAGTTATAAGGGTGGAATTTTAATTCATTTTTTGAAAAAGTATCTGAGGTATAAGAGTGATTTTTTTAAGTGGATTTTTAAAGGAATTTTTAAAGGAATTTTTTGAAGAAGTATCAGAGCTATAAGCGTGACTTTTTAAGTATCTGAGCTAAAAGTGTGGAATTTTATAATATATATTTTTTGAAGAAGTACAGTGCTGCAAATGTGTATTTTTTAAAGATATTTTTTGAAAAAGTATCTGCACGTGAAGTGTGGATTTTTAAAATATATTTTTGGAAGAAGTACCAAAACTATGAGTGTGGATTTTTTAAAGTTGTATAAAGTTATATAAGTGTGTTTTTTAAGATCTTTTTTGAGGAAGTATCTGAGCTATTTGAGGATTTTTAAAGATATATTTTGAAGAAGTATCCGAAGTGTGGATTTTTTACAGATAAGTGTGGATTTTTTACAGATAAATTTTGAAGAGATATCTGAGCTATACGTGTGGATATTAAAGTATATATTTTTTGAAGAAGTATCAGAGCTATAAACGTGGATTTTTTTAAGAATATTTTTGAGTAAGTATCTAAGCTGTAAGTGTAGATTTTTGAAAGATATTTTTTGAAGAAGTATCTGAGCTATAAACGTGACTTTTTTTAAAGAATTTTTTTAAAGATATTTTTTGAAGAAGTATTTGTACAATAAAGTTACTTTTTAAACAAGTATCTTAGCTTTATGCGTGGATTTTTTAAAGATATTATCTGAAAAAGGACCTCTCGGAGCCCTTCAATACCGAACAAGGATTCAGACAAGGTGACAGTTTGCCGTGTGACCTGTTCAACATCATGCTGGAAAAGGTCATACAAGATGCAAATGTGAACAGAAATGGCGCTTTGTACATCAAACAACACATTTAACTCGCCGACGACATCGACATAATGGGTCGAACATTGAGAGCGATAATAGCCACCTTTGAACGAATTGAGTCTGCCAAAGTGGGACTGGCAGTAAATGACGAAAAGACCAAGTTGATGGTATCAACGCGCAAGACGTCCAGTAGATTCGGACCAACTGTGGAACATAAAAACTACAGCTTCGAGGTACTGAATGATTTCATATATCCCGATACCGCCATAAACAAAAATAATAACATCAGCTTAGAAATCCACAGAAGAATAGTGCTATGGTCTGAGTAAGCTATTTAAGAACAAGGCTACTTCTCGCCAAACTCACACTCTACAGGATGCTTATACTACCCATGATGTTGTATGGATCTGAAGCATGGGTACTTTCGCAAGCAGATAAGACAGTTTTGAGAGAAAAATTCTCCGGAAGATCTATGGACCGATATGCGTCGACGGTGAATATCGCCGTCGAATGAACCATATTTATTCTCGGACATCGACATAGTCAGACGAATCGAGCTGCAGCGACTACGTTGGCTAGGTCTTGTCGTAAGAATGGATGAACGTTCTGTCACAAGCCATCTAAGTAAATAAGTCAGGGCCCTAAGCGTGGATTTTTAATATAATTCATTGAAAACCTGTTAGGTTCATGACAAAAACGAGCTGCCAGAGCCATAGATTGTATTTTTAAAGTATTTTTTCAATAACTTTCAGGGATTAACGTCCAGCGCCATAATCATGAAATTTTTAAAGCTTTATTATTATTTTTAAATCAGTGTTTATAAAAATATTTGTTTAATATCTGTCAGGTAATTTGTGTAATTTTAAAGTTTTCTTTTTGTAAAATCCGTGTATATACCCTGGATTTTTAAATTTTTAGGAAATGTTAAAGTACGTTTACATTGTACCGGATTTGGTTAACCCAGTGGGTTTAAATTGTCAATTGCTTTGAATATATGCCAAATAAATACTCATAAAGTAGGTTAACCCGGTAAAAAGTTCTAATGTAAATGCCGTATTAGAGCTATAAAAGTAGATTTTTTTTAAATATTTATCAGGGTATACAAATGAATTCTTAGGAACTTTTTGAAGAACTAAAAGTCCGAATTATGTATGGCAATTTTAATTTTCTCAATTCTTTAATTTGTAGGTTAGAGAGTCGTCCAGAAACTGACTATTGCCGCAAGTAAAATTGCCTAATGTAATTTTGGTATTACCGTAGTTTTTTTGAAGAACTATTCGAACTATTAGTGTCTTTATTAAGAAAGTTTTTAATTGTTTATATAACAAAACATATTCTTAGGAACACATGTAAATTTTTTGTAAAGGTCCCATCAATGTTAGGGTTTGGAATTAAAAAATAATATTATATATATTATCTTAATCTTTTTTGTGTCTGTCAAAATTGTGTTCGTGTATCATTCATATTTCGGGATAGCCTGAACTTTGAAATTATTACAAAATTAAAAAAATCCCCACTTAACTGACGGAAATTGTATATCTATTTATATGCCCGATATTGAAGTCAACACAGCTTATCTTTATGACATTAAATAAAAATTGGCAAAAAAATAATTGTTTATCTAATTAATAAATAAATAAATAGCTTCATTGTCACAAGTGATTCACATTTTTATATAAAAATAATTATTAAATATATATTTTTATTTTATTGCAGCCGTGTACTCATTTTCTTATCATATTATGAAAAAAAAGAATTGTCAAAAAATTTAAAGAAATTAACTTCAGTGTTACTGTTTTTGATGTACTCAAAAAATAAACATATTTAATCAGAATGTGTCAAACTTAATCGTTTTTTTAGGATTTTAAATTTAGAATTTGTGGCAAAAAAAGTGGAGGGGGCTGTGGGAATTGCATGAGGTATCCTACGGTCATTTCATGTATGACTACATCATTATTGATTATTGTTATGTTGTTACTATTTGTTTGTATTTCATTTTGTTTCTTTTCATTATCAGTGTGCTAAATAATTTATTTAACACCAGTGTTATTGTTATTTTAATGAGTGCTTGTAAATAAATATTATTATTTATACATAAAACAAGGGAACGAATGAGCTGAGTTTGCTCTCCGAGCAGAGAGTAGTTAATTTACTATCAATTCAATGAAAGTAATGTCATTTAAATGTTAATAGATCATTTTTTATAATATTTAAAGAAAATGGTTCATTTAGCGCGATATGATCGGAAAGTAATGTAAAAATTATAACATAATCTCTTCCAAGTGGTTATCGTAAAAAATATAATCTATGATGATATGCCAATTATAGACAGGGATGGTCCGTGTGACGAATTTTTAGGTTTTCGACTGTCAAAAAGGAGTAAACGTAGAAAACGTCATATATCTGTATAAAATGTAATAAATGTAGTAAACGTCATTTATTTCAATATTATCAGCATATAAAGTTATTTTCAAGAACATACATGTATTATTTTTACATATATCTGACTATTCCTTGCTAGAACTGATAAAAATTTCTAAATTTTTTTGAGAAGAAAATTTTCAATTTTTTTATGGATTTGAGTAAAGCATGTGTAATATCCAAATTGATTAATGGAAATCGCTATTTTGTCAAAAACCTAATGAATTTGGGTAGGTTTCCGACGTTTCTCACGTATGTATTATACGTCGGAAATGTATGTCATTTGCGTCACTGTTTCTGACAGGCCATCTCTGATTATAGACTATTCTTTCTGAAAGTCCCACAGCTACAACCTTGATTTTTTTAGAAAATGTTATGATTAAAAATATTGCTCGCGCGGATTTTTAAAGATTTTTTTAAATGAATTTTCAGAACAATAAGTGTGGATTTGTTAAAGAAATTTCAAATTTACAGGCGTCGATATATAACGTAAATTTTTGAAGAAATGTCTGAGCTATTAAAGTGAACTTTGCGGACGATCAGAGCTATTAACCAGTTTTTTGAATATATATAGATATACAGGGGTATCCACTTCGTGTTTTCAAAAGTAAACGTAAATAAAACACATATTAAATATGTTTGCATGATATATTTTTATACCCTCCGGTAATTTGGACACGTTTTCGATCTATTAGGCTGTAACTTGGTATTTTGTATTCTCATCACTGTTACGTATTTTTCTCACGTCTTTTTCGGTATGTTCAAGGTCCTATCATAACCTCATGTTAATTTTAGATATTTTGAATGTCATCCTTAAAAGTTGAAGA